TAGTCCATGCCAAAATTTATACGAAGAATTAACAAAGCCAGAAATTCATGGTGATTTTATTTATCTAAATGTTTGTACTTATTCAGTTTATTTGATTTACATTATTGCTTAACCAATATTGCAGATTTAAGGCAAGCAAGCTATTTTTTTTGTTAAGTGCATCCCAGAAACCCTGAAAAGGATGGCAAGGACGAGTGTTGGTTGGGTGGTTGCCGGGCGGCTGGCAGACACCTCTTCTCGTTTCCACTAATTTGGCCTTTGTTTGTGGTTTGCGTTTTCGTTTGTTGAACAGCACAAAAAGTTTTAATTGACTGTTGCGAATACGGCGCACGGAACCGCCTCGGAAATTTTCGAGTTTCCGGCTTGACTTGGCTCCGCTTTCCCCAGATCTCCAGTCTCTAATCAGAAAACCCTTTTCCAGTCGCCGCGGCGGCATACCTGCCTATCGGTCCTGGGCTAGTTGTTTGCTTTTATATTTTCGGGATTTTCGCTTTTTAATTTATTTATTTTGAAGCGATCCCTTTGCGCGAAAAGCGCAACCCGCGAAAGAGATAAATGTGGTTGGGCTGGGCAAACTTGACGCGAAATTGGTTTAAATATTTGCCAGCCACATTTCCACACTTAAGCCGGTTACATTTCCCCAGTTAACTTACACCCCAATGTCCTGTTTAAAGCCATTTGCAATTTAAATGAGGTGCAAATGCAATGCCTGTGTGTGATTTGTGTGCTGTGCGATAGGTGGGCTCAATGGCACCTGAGCACTTTACCTGACAAGCGGCTGAGGATGAGTGCCTTTGCCTTTGTGATGGGGCTTGGATTGTGTATGCATCCGTCATTAAAGCAACTGAATTAATCACGCAACTGTGAACAGCTCCCTGTTGCACAGGGGGAAATATGCTAATTGTTTGGGATTAGGGGATAATAACATTCTTACTTATCAAAGAGAAGGGGAGAAAAATATATTTGAGTGTGAATTGATTGTAGGGATTACTCAATTTAAAGAAAAATCTATAGGTAAAAAGACCTCATTGTAATTTAAATATCATTGCTTACTATCAAATAGTTTGAGCATGTTTAAATTGCAAGTGATGTTGAACTCTACAATTTCTTGGCGTGCAGGATTGTTGCAGCATATGCAGTGGTTGTTGTTGTTGTTGTTGATGCCTCTGCTGTTATTGACTGCCTGTCTGACCAATTATGGTGCAATTAACACACTTGATTGCCCGTAATCTCTGACTCGTTTGCCGTTAACGGCTTCACCGGCACTGCACCGGTGCGTGCGTGTGGGCTTTGACTTCTTCGCAGCTCTCAAAAGGCAGGAGCCTTCGGCCTGCACGGGCCACCTTGGCGTATGCTCGATGTGGCAGGCCGGGAAAGCTCGTTACTGCAAAAACTTTTTGGCTAAAACAACTCGGCCGTAAAGTCGATTGCCGGCGGCCAAAGTGTGCGTCCCGAAATAGCTTAACCATCGACTTTGTGAATTTTTATGCGAGGTGTCAGCGGCAGCAGGGGCTTAACTCAGTTTACGAGGCATGGCAGCTTGAATACCGGATCAAATTTGCCCCGAAATGCAATTGAAATAAATGTAATTTCATAAATGGGCTTTGCCTTTGCACAGGTATCATAAAACTGGTTTCCAGAACGAACGTTTTATTTCGCTGCCTATTTGCATAGAGTGCCAGAAAATACATTTTGATGGAAATGACAGCGAGTTGAATAAACACTGGCATTAAACTGAATGCAGTGAACTCAATTCCGGCTAAAAGTGAGCCCTTTGATGGCCCTCGATCAATAAGCCGAGCTGGCCGCGCTCATGATTGTGTTTGCTGTCACTTGCCGTCTAATTTGATTGAATATCCTGTCCGGCCTACAGCCGACTATCCTGACGCGTCCTCAACCAACAAAGTCTGGCATTAAATATGGGGCCGACGGCAACAATAACCGCCCGAATGCCACAAGTTGTGCGTTTAAATAATTTATCAAAATAAAAATCCGGAAAAGGGGCTTAATCCCACTTGGCTGTCTACTTCTCCTTAAACAACATTGTGATGGACGAGCTATGCAAAAGGCCGAGGGCATCTGACATGGGCGTACAAAACAATAATATCATAGTGAAAAGATAAAACTAACTTTCCCAACAATCGAATCGAAAGTTGCATTATTCTAATTCTTAGTTTTACTCTCGAATATAATTCAAATAGAGGTCTTGTTCTACTATATGTTTTTTTTTTTTTTGGAGGGATGAACTTAATTTTTCTTCCCCCATTCGCTACGCCTCTGGCATTAACCGCACTACCAATAAAATGACACTAAACGGCAAAGGCAACCGCAACAGGAAAAGGAGAATGACTCGAGGATTGGAATGAGAAAGGAGTCCGCCGCAAGGACGCTGGCCTTGTTATGTTGACATTCCATTCCGTTATCGGGGGGGCAGGGCGGGATCTATAATTGATTAGGTTCGGGTCCGCCAATGAAGCTCACTCGGTTAGCTCGGCCCTCCCCAGTGGGTCATTTAATCCACGTGAGTGTGTGTCGGATCTAAGCAATAATTTATGACCTTTATACAAAGACATTAATCTTTATTGGAATTGAAAAGTACATACATTTAGCACGCATTGAGTTGACAATCCATTTCTTCATCGGCAACATGCCGAAATCATAATGAGAAAGTCGTTGGGGCAGGATTAAATTAGGATTTGCGTTTATATTTGCATATGAATGAGAAGAGATCCCAGAGGACACAACGCCCGGCAATTAAGTGAGGTTAATTAAGCTCCATGAATATCATTATCGGATTTGTGGGCCGAAGTCAAGATTGCATCTGTTGGTCTACATTGTGATGAAATATAGACGTAGACGAACGCCATTACAATATAAGAAAAATTTCCAGTAAAAACAACATATACATTTACTCAAAAAAAATATTAAAGGCATTTTTTGGAATTTTAAATAATTTATACTATTCACTACTAGACTATAGTTTACGTGAGAAGAGTAAACATTTTTGTAATCGCTTAGATTTCAAAATTCTTTTCAGTGTCTTCCTGAGCCGAAACCTTTGGACTTGATTCATTTTTCATACTTTGCATTTATGCAGATTGAAGCAACAATCGGGAGTGCGGCTCTAACTGGGCCAGAGGCCGTTTTTTATTAGGAGCGATGTCTCTTCTGCGGATCCGCCGATGGGTGTGGAGTAAGGAGTGTGTGGACCGCCGTTTTCACAAAACATTTACCCGAGATTGCAGACGAAGCCGGAGCCAGTCAAGTGTTGAGCTTAGACACAATTTATCAGCTGAACGATTTGATTTATATGGTTAGACATGGCATGCGTCACGTCAGGGCTGCTGCGGTAGCGGATGCACTCAGAAAAAATCTAAAGTGTATTAGAAATATAAAGATAACAGTAATTATCGCCAAAACCTAGCCCTTACGTTTTTGAACCAATTTAAAGCATTTAAACCCAGTAAAGCAGCAGTTTATTTCTTGATTTTAAAACCTCTTTCATTTTAAAATAAGAATGTAGTTTACCATTTCCTATTATTTATTACAATATTTCTCACTATAAGTACATTTACTTACACAGCAAAATTTTAGTTTCGCTTTCTGCTTGCCTCAAGTTCTGATGCCTTTTTTGTTTCGAGTGTGCCACTCATTGTTTCTGGCTCGGTTTTCATGATTATGTTATGTGTGCTTTATCTGACTGCCATTTGTGGAGCACTTGCTCATGAAAATGGAAAGTATATGGCTCGCGAGAAAGAAAAGAAATTGCGGCCCACTGAGATGTTAATGTTAACATGCATGCCTAAACATAAAAATTATAACCACATACTTGTGCCAGCCCCTGCTTTTCGATTGGGACTTGGACTTGGAGTCGGACTTGACTTGTACTTGTACTCATACTCATAGTCGTAGACTCATAGTCGTACTCATAGTCGTACTCGAACTTGTACTCACACCCGTCTGGTGTGAATAACCTGGCTAATGGCTGGTGCGTGTCTCGAAGATCTTCATAACCGCCATTCATCTGCGCTTCTCTCCGATTGTGCGGGTAATTAGTTGCCACGCCAAACAATTTGCGAGGAGGAAAGTAACTCTTGTTGGTTGTCACTTTGTTGCGGCATTATTGAAGGCTTAACCCCATTAGCTGAATTGGCGCACTTGCCAATCGGCTGCGAAGATCGAAGAAACCCCGAAAACAGGTAGAAGACAAGGGCCAGCAGAAGCCCAACTTTCGGCGAAGAACAGCGAGCGAAACTTTTACCCAGCGCCAGAAAAAAAAAGAAAGAAAAGAAGACAACATCAAACAACAAAAGAAAACAAACTCGGACAATGTAAACTCATTCACGAAGCTGGGTTGCTGTCTCTTTACAGAAGAGAGCATCTGCATCTCGGGGGCAGGTCCCGCATTTTTAGTACCTCCGCGGCATTTAAATCCGCGCGGAGAATGCAGAGAAAGAAAGGTGGATCATGAATGACTCTTTTCTTTTCAGAGAAAATTTCGAGTTTTCTAAGCATTTTCTATACATTTAACAAGTAGTGATTGTAAATCAAAATAAAAGCATAATTTATAATTGAAGCCATAGCTAATTTTTGGATGTGTCTTTCTTGAAAAGAATTTTTTGGTTTTAGATCTAAAGATTCAAGGTAGGCTAAAGTAAGAAATTTTAAAATCCTATCAAAAGTATCGGTGGTTTCTTGTAAATAGTTTTCTAAATGCTAGAGCCGTCAATGTAAAATGTATTTATTTATTTAGTATATATCCGACCATTTTTTTTATCATTTTACAATTTCATATAGAAACATATTATTATTCACTTGTTATGCTACTGAAGACTATTGAGATACTTTCTTCGTAGAATAAAAAACCTTGGCGTGTTGATCTGATTTCTTTCCGTGCATCGGGGCAAACCAGTTTCACCTGCAGAGCGGATCCAGAGAGCTTGGCCCAAAAGCGAAGCCTAGTCGGCTCGGTTTCGACCAGCTTCAGTTGTGTTGCGGCGCTCAGATGGAGCGGACTTAGCGGAAGTGCAAGAAGCGGGCCCACTACGACCTTCTCGACTCGATCAAAACCGTTTTCAACCGGCGGCGGTGGAGAACGCAGGCGCGAACGCTGCGAAATTGTTACCGCTGCGCATGCGCAGACAGGCCGTACTTGTTGTTGCGGTGGCTCGGCTTAATTACTAGCGCCCCCCGCCTTGGGAGCCCGGATCTTAGTGGTTTGTCTGCATTTTTCATCGGTCGCCAGTGTGTGTGCGCTAGTGGCCATCTCTCTGGGAAAACATTCTTCCCGAGCGGAGCTTTCTTTTTGTGTATAACAAAAGAGAACTAGGCAAAAACCAAACGTAAACAAGGCATCGCGAACTTGTGCAATCCAGCGACAAAAACAAAAGACCCGCGACTTGGTGGTTCCCAAGCCACAAAAAACAAAAAAAAATATAAAAAACGACGGTTGAAGTGCAATTTACAAGCAGCGCCCAAATCAGAAAGAAAATGTAAGCCAAGAGTATAAATCAAAATATAATGAAACAGGTTACGAGAGGAGAAAAACCGAGATGTGTGATTAACATATTTCCCATCAAAGCGTTTACACGCAATGCGAGTGGACCTGTATCTCTTACCTGTGTATCTGCCCCTGTCGTATCTGCTGTACCTGTATCTGTATCCGTGTATCCGTATCTGTGAAACAAGAAGTGGATCCAATCGGATCGAATCCCATCCCATTTCCCATTTCGAACCCATTCCGTGTGGCAATGCAACCTTGAAGCTGTCCGCGGTATCGAATCGCACATCGCCCATGCATTTCAATGAGCAAAAGAGCGTTTTCAGGGAGATTTTGAAACCTAGGTCGTTTTATTTTCGTTTTATGGACTCTATAAATTTACATACGTTAACTTGCTTGTTTGTCTTGCTGTGCATATCGCCGATCTTTGGGTAAACACGGGCGAAAAAGACTGGCCAAACACCGTCTGCGATTGCCCATGGACCGCTGAGTAAATAGCACAAATAACGCGAAACCAAAAATAATGCAAATAGAAATACGGCCAGACATAAAAGTATTTTTTCTTGTTATGGTGTCAGTGCGCATTAAAAAGCAAACAGTAACCAATGAACACGGCCAACAACAACAGAACAACAACAACAACCAACCACCACCGACCGTACTGCCAATAACGGTACAGCTAATGCTGTGAGAGTGAGAACTAAGAATCCAGGTCCAAAGTGCCAGAGCCAGAAAAGATCGTGGCTCAACGAATCGCTCATGCGCTGCAGAAGACGGCTTTTATATCGGTTACATAGTCGCTTTTTGGTTAATAAAAGAGTTTATAAAGGCAGTGTTTAATATCTGAAAATGTTACTTTTAAAAATAAAATCATTGGTGCAAATGCTATTTAGCACAAAAGCGTTAAAACGGAACAAAAAGGTTTTACTAAAAAAGTTTTACTGTAAGTTCAATGAATTAACGCCTACTTTTCAAGCATAAACTGAAATGTTTGCTAATTAAAGAACAGCTATTCTTATATTATGCGAGCTACCTTATTGTAGAGTTAATTTTAGCATATAGCTGTCATATTCCTAACAAATTCAAGAGATTTCAAACATACCAAAAGCGAGTTGATAGTTAGACTGATGAATCGGCAACAAATGCCTCTAATATGTCAGCATTACCAAATTACTCATACCACTCGTTGGCAGCCTAACTTCATGCTCTTTGTTGGCCAGCTAGCTTGATTATAGCCTTCGTTCTTTCGATCAAACCTTGGTGTCGACCATTGTTGTTGGTCTCAAAAATGCGGCTTGGACCGAAATAGACGGAGACATCGGTATGCAAATCAAATGTTCTAAGCGAACGCGGCGATAATGGGGAAATGACCAAATACGATACGATACGGAATACGGATGGCCAGCAGATCTCCTCTCGAAACGAGTTTCACCCAGCCATACCAAACTGATCGGGCCAGAAAAAGACAATAATAATAACGCCGCCATTCTTCGATTACAGCGAAATGGAAGCGTGGAAACAACTGACAAACGGGGGGCGTTTTCTGCTGGTTCTCTTGATCTGCACCTCCCACTTGGCCCACCGAATTTCCGCCTGGCGCCCCTGTCCGGAGCTCAGTCCCGCCCTGCGATTGCCGTGCAGGTGAGTAATGGCCATGCATTCAGGCGGTGGCCAGTGCAGAAAAAACAGAAAACAGAAAAAAAGCGACAGCGAATTTCCGCTGTCAGTCGGGTATTATTTTAATATCACAAAATTACCGCAAACTGCAATTTCATTTGGCTTTGTTTCGCCGTAATCACCTGTATGGCGACAATTACAGATGCAATGTGGTTCCGTTTGCGGCGACTGGTCAACTCGGAGCCGTGGCCATGGACTGCGATCGCGTTGTCTTCCACGGCGATGCACCGCAGCTGCCTTATGGAGCGCCCATCGTGGCGTATACGCAACGCCACAGCGGCCAACAGGTGCTGCCCGCCCAGGTGAGTGTCGCAATTTGGCTGAGATAAACCACAGACAGACAATGAGATTTCGAAACTTTTCGATGATCTCACAGGCACAGTAAACGCTTTTAAATGGCGGCCAATCAGATCTTATTTCTTATTGATTTGACACATTTTTAATTAAATAATCTTTGAGCTGATTGGCCTTTTAAACAGCTTTTGTTTTTCTCTTATTATTTTTTGTTTGTTTACTTTGATATCTTTTCAAGATATAAAAGTGACACTTAATAATACTCATTATTTTCTATTACGATTGATTAACACAATTATAATGATATTTTCTCCCACCACAGACATTTGGCCAACTGAAACTGACTATTGAGGAGCTGGATCTATCTTACAATCTGATCCGAAGAATTCCGGAGAAAGCATTTGATGGGCTGAAGGATTCACTAAACGAATTGCGTTTGGCAAACAATTTGTTAGGTGACAACCTAAATCCCATCTTTTCCACTGCCGAATTGCACGTGCTGAAGAACCTACGCCTTTTGGATTTATCCGGAAACAAGATCAAGTTGATCGAGGAGGGCCTTTTAAAGGGCTGCATGGATCTGAAGGAGTTCTACATCGATCGCAATAGCTTAACAACAGTACCTACAAATTCTCTAAATGGACCCAGTGCCCTGAGGCACCTGTCGCTGCGCCATAACCAGATTGGTAAGTCGGATTAGTCTATTGAATGTATGTTTTTGTATGGCTGTTTGATCGAAACCGCAACTGGAACAACTGGAATGAAAACAACAAGTCGTAATCGTAAAACAAACAATTATTTCAGGCTCTAAGGGAAAGTATTTAATGTACATTAATTACACTTGCAATTCTGGGCGCGGATCTTGATTAACTACAGCCACATTCTTAAGTGTTAGACCTCTAAAAGTTGTGGTTATCAATCTTTATTTTTACTTTATATATACCTATCCGTTACAGGATCACTCCTACCGGACTCTTTCAACGCCCAACGTCAGTTGGAGATTATCGATCTTCGTCACAATGTTATTCGCATTATCGACAGTCAGGCCTTCAAGGGATTGCAGAAAATTCGGGAAATCAAACTGGCTGGAAATCGGATTAGTAATCTGAACAGCGACGTTTTTGAGAAGTTGCCGTCTTTGCAAAAATTGGATTTATCTGAGAACTTCTTCAACCAGTTTCCCACGGTGGCCATGGCAGCAGTTCCCGGAGTAAAGCACCTTAATCTGTCCTCAAATATGTTACAGGTTAGTGAGTTTTCGTACAAAAAATTCATTCCAGTTATTTCATAATGTATTTTCCCTCAGCAATTGGACTACACCCACATGCAAGTGGTGAGGGCCTTAGAAAGTCTGGATATTAGTCGCAACAGCATAACCAGTATAACACCAGGAACTTTCCGGGAGATGGGTGCTCTCAAGTACCTGGATCTGAGTTTGAACTCATTGAGAACAGTAAGTCATATCATATTCCACATTAGACCAGCTCAAAATTAAATGGGTACCAATACTTGTTTTGCAGATCGAAGATGATGCCTTAGAGGGGTTGGACAGCCTGCAAACCCTTATTATCAAGGATAATAATATTCTTTTGGTGCCCGGAAGTGCCCTGGGTCGTCTACCCCAATTGACATCACTTCAGCTGGACTACAATAGAGTGGCTGCTCTTTCTGCAGAGATCCTTGGATCGATTCAAGCTGGAGATGTAACCACTCTGTCATTATCCAGGAACGTTATTCGCGAATTACCGCCCAACAGTTTCCAGATGTTTAGCAGTCTGAACTCCTTGGATCTCTCTGGGAATTCCTTGGCTTTGATTAATGCGGATACTTTTGCTGGGCTGGAGAGCACTTTGATGGCCTTGAAGCTATCTCAAAACAGACTTACGGGTTTGGGAGGAGCGCCCTGGGTTCTACCCGAGTTAAGAAGTCTAGATCTGAGTGGGAATACGCTCACCGAGTTACCCATTAACATTTTTGAGGAGCTGGAGAACCTGCAATCACTCAACCTGAGCGGAAATCATTTGACTCCTCTGAATGGAGCTCTCCTCAAACCTTTGGATCGCCTTCAAGTCATCGATTTAAGTCGCTGTAATATTCGCCAAATAAGTGGAGACCTCCTGGCAGGATTGCAGGACCTGAAGCACATTTACCTTAATGACAATCAATTGCAGGAGTTACAGGATGGCAGTTTTGTGAATCTATGGAATATTAGCTCCATCGATCTTTCTAACAACCGCATTGGGTCCATTCGTACCGGTGCCTTTGTGAATGTGATGAAGTTGAAAAAGCTGAATCTTCATGGAAATCAGTTGTCTGCCTTCAAGGGAGAATATTTTAACACGGGTACTGGAATTGAGGAACTGGATATTTCAGATAACCAACTGAGCTACCTGTTCCCCTCATCCTTTAGGATTCATCCGAGATTAAGGGAGATTCGAGCGGCCAACAATAAGTTTTCCTTCTTTCCGGCGGAACTTATTTCCTCCCTCCAATATCTCGAGCATATCGACCTCTCTCATAATCAACTGAAAACCATTGAGGAACTGGACTTTGCAAGATTACCGCGACTTCGAGTTCTCCTCGTTGCCAATAACCAATTGGATATGGTCAGCGAAATGGCCTTCCACAATTCCACGCAACTTCAGATTTTGGATCTGGCCCATAACAATCTGGATCGCATTGGAGAGCGGACTTTCGAGGGCTTAGTGCGGTTGGAGCAACTCAACCTTGAGGGCAACCGGTTGTCAGAGCTTTCGGATGGAGTCTTCGAGCGCTCAAAGCTACAGATGTTGGAGAATATCAACCTGGCTCACAATCGCTTTGAATATGCTCCCTTGAATGCCCTGCAGAGACAGTTCTTCTTTGTGTCTTCTGTAGATCTGAGTCATAACAAGATCAAGGAATTACCCGGAGATGACAGCATAATGGTGAACATAAAAAGGATTGACCTCTCCTTTAATCCATTGAGTGCCAAGGCAGTACGCAATGTACTCAATGAGCCCAAAACTGTGAGGGAACTCAGTTTGGCGGGAACGGGTATTGAGCAGTTGGATCTCCTGGAGACACCCTTCCTGCAGTTCCTTAATCTCTCTCACAACAAACTGAAGAATGTTAGGCCAGAGGTGTTCCAAAGAGTGACTCTGTTGGAAACCTTAGACCTCTCCAGCAATGAGCTGGAATCCCTAGACGATCTATCCGGTGCTTGGCCTCAACTACAGGTGCTTCAAACCCTGGATGTGTCCAATAACAGCTTTGAAATCGTTTCGCAATCCAACTTTGGTAAGCTGGAGATGCTGAGGTCCTTGAGTTTGAATCATCTGCCCCTGTGCACGAGGATTGAGAAGAATGCCTTTAGGCAACTGCCCAATCTGATCAACCTGGAGGCCTATGATCTTCCTTTGCTGGGCTACCTGGATCTTCAGGGCATCTTGGAGCTTCTGCCTGGCTTGGAAACTCTTGATATTGAAGTTAAGGACTCCAGCATAGGAAGTGAGCAAATTCAGCCTCTAAAACATCCTCGTCTCAAGAGTTTGGGAATCAGGGGTGAGAGATTGAAGTCCATATCTTCTGGAACCTTGGCGGGACTGAAGAGCAGTGACCTGAGTGTCCAGTTAAGGAACACATCCTTAAGTGCTCTGCCACCAGCGTTGCTCTTTCCGGTGCCACGATCCTCCCATCTCAACCTGGATGTGGAGGGATCCAAGATCACAGTGCTGGTGCCACAGTTTCTGAATGCTCTGGAAGATCGCAGAGCGAGTTTGCAGCTAAAAGGATTGGAAAGCAATCCTGTAGTCTGCGATTGTAATGCTCGAGCCCTCCGGCGTTGGCTTCCCAATTCGGGAATGCCGGATGTGACCTGTGCTTCGCCTGCGTTTCTGGTCAACCGAAAGCTTATTGAAGTTGGGGATGATGAACTGACCTGTGATGCCCGCAGAATGACTTCCTCCACCTCAAGACCCACTGCTTCAGTGCCGCATATGCTTAAGACATCCAGTCAGTTGGTGACCAGGAGCAGCTCCACCACCGAAGAACCGCTGATTATCTGGAGTCTGGAACCCACACAGCCACCTAGCCTGAAGAAGATTAAGACCAAGGCTCCCCTGATGAAGGCACAATCTCCGATCATTAGCAATGACGATACTCTGATCATAGGAATCGTGGGAGGAGTGGTGGCCTTCATAGCCATACTCATCATTATCATCTGCATCATAAGGCTGCGCATGAGCAACGCCGAGTACCAGCAGAATGCAGCGATGATTGGTCTTCCGGCTGGCATGCAAATGGGAGCCCATAATGCAGCCTACAATTACAAGAATGGAGCGGGAGCAGCCCTGTACGCAGTGCCTCCTTACCAAGCGAGCTACGCAACGCTGCCCCACAAGGCGGCCTCCATCCATCAGTCCAGTCAGAATCTATCCCAGCGACAGCAGCAACAGCAGCAGCAGCAACAGGTTGCTGCGGCGGCGGCTGCCTACTCGACCATGTCCCGCATGTCGTACTTCAGTGGAGCGGGCGGAGGAGCCGGCGGAAATGGCGATGGAGCCGAAAGCCTCACGCACCAGCATCCGCACCAGCATCAGCCCTATATCATATACTCGGACGACAAGGCCTACAGATAAGCCAGCCGATCTGGGGTGGTGCTTTATCTTTCCACACACTCCTCCATTCTGTCCATTTTTCAATCTTAGTCAGTCAGTCAGGCGCATCGCCGCAAACAGGTTCTACATTATATCGCCGCTCTCAGCCAACGTTGTATATAGACTTTAAAAAACATTCTTACTGTAACCCTAACTATATCTATTTCTAACCATAATTAAGTGCAAGCAAATCGCTTATGCGGAATAAACAAATCTAGTATAATACACATTTGAAGTCTATTTGCTCGGTCGGGAAAAAACCAGACATTTACACAGCTGTCTTTCAGGTAGGGCATGCAAAGTCCACAAACTAACCAAACTGACTGTCGACTCAACACAAATTAGGTTATAAAAAGCCGTAAAAACATGAATTTAATGGGTATTCATGTTTTTACGGCAATGATTATTTAAAAAACTATCAGAAACCCATATTTACTTTTAAATGTACACCCTCTTTGACTTTTTCACCTTGAACACCTTTGAAACATGTAACAATTCGAATCGAATATTGTCAATATTTAAGTATTATTGCCGTTGACTTCCGTGATTCCTACCTAACCGATATACTTGCAAAACCAATTGATTACCTTATCTTGAACTTAATTAATTAAATACTCAACTTTTGATAAGAATTTCAGTTTTGCGTGAACCACTAACTACCTTTTAATAATAGCGCAATATTACCATTCAATCACAATTTTTTATCAGTGGCCAAACCAATGAAGCCCACCTTCCACAAACATACAAAAACACTTCCTTGATTTGAGCGATTTTAATACAATAAATTTCTCATACAAGATAATTTCATAAAAATGTATATGTGTATAAATATGTTATGTATATATGTATGCAACTTCAAGATCGCTATTCACAGTCTTTGTATTTCATATCTTTCACTGAACAACAACAAATCTCGTTATCATTCCATTTAAATGCTAATAAACTTTTGTGTTATTAAATGCACAAACTTAAGCTAAAATAATTAATCAATAGCAACAGACTGTGTGTGACATGCACATTTTAAATAAGTTTTATCCAGAATTAACAATAACGGTCTGAGAAACTGGCCGTTTCAATCAAGAGCAACATAGGATTCACTAAGAAAACCAATTCACTTTGGCAATTGAAGAGCTGGCATTGCTCTAAATTCATAATTAAGTAGATATCCGTTTAGGCCATTTGAGAGTATGAGGTGTACAACTTGTAGTTGCGACGACGATAGTAGATCATGAGGCCATAGCTTGTGAGTAGCAGCGCAATAACGATTAAAATGAGAATACCTGATAAATGGAATTTGCTATAATTCGTTTAAAATAAGAATAACCATTGACTCACCCGTCGCCGTTCCGAGGTTGGCCTCTTCATAAGTCATCATCATAGTAGAGCGCTTGCATTCACGTTCCCAATCCACAGGTAGAACATCCTGATACAGGTTGACAAGCTTTTTAAGCGGGCAAGAGGGTCCACAACCTGGTATGTCCAATGGAAGAGGCTCCGCAGTGGTGTTTTTGTAGAAAATGGAAACAAGCGGTGAGTTGTTCTCATCCACACGCGTTTCCATCAAAATACACGCCGTGTAGGGAGGACTATGCAGCTGTATAATAAGGTTAACGATTGCCAATTACAAAGGACTTCGAAATCTTACCTCAAATAGTTTCAAAGCATTTAAAACACTTGCTATAGTGGTATCATGCGCACTATAAACCCACATTGAACGATCTGGACTCAAGTGTCCGGAGGATTTTTCTTGAATACGCTGGAAAATATCCTTCAGCAAAGGACCGGCCTTGAGTCTTGCCAGCTTTCGCGTGTAAGAGCTTATGGCAAAAGCGAAATTAGCTAAGTAAGTGAGCTCCTCTCCGCCGAATACTTTTTGAGTCCATTGCGGCAGTGTCATGTTGTATAGACTTTCAATAAACAAGGTGTTATTTAAATACTGGGCATCCACAAAGGTCTTCACAGTGCGTCCGCTTTTTTCGCTCAAGTAAGCAAAGAGTTCACGGTGCTTTGCGGTCATTGCCTTGAACTCGGGTGAGGATTCCAAAGAGGCTAACTCGTAATCGTAGGCAGGACAGGGAGCCTTGGCGGCCAGGATGGGATCCTCCTTCTCGGGCATTGTATGAATGGGTATTGGCTGCCATTTTATCTCGGAATTCCAAATGTCTTCACCTTCTGGTTCGTAGAGTCCAGCCAAGTTAGCCTGGGCACTCATTAGAGTGCGATCCACATCAGTGGACTGGACAAAGATGTCCTCGTTGGAATATTGAGAGGGGAGGATAATCTGATATCGGTTCCTTAGCCATTTCCCCAGTTCGTAGTGCTCTTGCTTGCCCAGCTTTGAATATAAATTTCGGTAAAGCCAAGGATTTTATTCTTGATATGCTACTTACATTGGTCAACTGTCCCCAGCCGGTCGACCAGTACTTCCTGTCACCCCAGGGATCCTTGGGATATGGATCCACTGGTGTTCTGTCGCCGTGGCGATATATCTGCAGAAGCATAGCTGATAAAACTAGGGCTCCACACACAAAGAAAAGCGAAACTCTTACCACATGCACAAACTTTAGTTGGCCTGGCAATGTGGCCAAGGTATCTGCTTGTCGACCTTCAACATTAGCATAACCATGCAGGGCATTAGCCAAACCGAAAGATAACACACAGATCACGGAGAGCACGACCAAGCAGCGCTGGCGGAGGTAGTTCCACATTTTCAGAGTCAAACTTGTTACAAGTGACCCACAGCGACTGCGAGAAAACATATGTCAGCATGCGAATTACAGGTTACGGTGTACGACTAATTCGGGGTTAGCAATCCCTTACCTCAACCGTATAACTGGTGATCTGGTCGTGCGTCGTTTGCATATATACACACCTGGGAAACTGAAGTTTAAACAGTCGTCAGATTTCCTTGTTTATAAATTTTGGGGACAAGTTTGATAACATCGCCCAAAGCTTTGTTTTTGACCGATAACGATAGTCGGCCCAAGCAACCCTGAATCGCAACAGTTATATTTTGGCGGGCAGCTTCAAAGTAAAACTCGATATGATATTTATGATTGTATTGATTGACTCGTCGTATCTAGTTGCACACAAGTAATATGATTATTTAAGTATTGCATAAATATTGAAACAATCTTAACTACAAATAACAAATATACTGTTGATGTTGGTCTTAAGATTACGGCTATAGGACAAATTAAAAAAAATAGTCGGCTTAACTAAAAGATTCAGCGCGCGAAACAATGGAAAACAAAATTCGGCTATTACAATATTAATTGGAGTACACGTGGGGACTGGCAAACAAACTGTGGCATTGCACTGGCTTAAAATCTTCTATTGCTGCCCATATTTGGTCCGGGTCTAGGTCCGCTAAAGCTGAAAGGATAGATTAATTATTTGAGGTTAATAAGATGGTAAGGATAAGGTTTCACTTGCCGGTTTCTTTGGCCTGGCGCTCCACCTCCGCTGCCCAGAGGTGGAAACTCCGAGTGATATGCATTCATGCCGTTCTGATTGTTGTTCTTGCCTCTTGCTCCTCCCCGTTTAAATGGACCTCCGCCTCCTTGTTGACTGTTTGATTCGTGGCTGCTGTCACGTCTGGCATTAAAGCCACCACCGTTAAAGAAACCACGTCCCCCTTGTGAATTCCCTCTAATAAAATAAAAAATATTATTTGCTTTTAAAGAACTCATAAATAATTTACCCATTGGTTCCACGACTGCCAGAACTCATGGGTCCATTCCCAAAGCGTCCAAAACCCATTTGCTGCTGTTGATGCTCCACTGGCAGGGCAAAGCCACGTCGATCCTGTCGCACATGGTTAGAACCTGCTCCCCCGCCGCCGCCTCTTTGACTCAAAGCTCCACCTCCTCCGGAACTTCCACCGTGAAAGTCACTATTACTGCCTCCTCCTCCAAATCCGCTATTAGGACTGTTCTTGAAATTCCTCCTGCCAGTTTGTAATCCGTTGTTATCCCGCTGCTGAAACCGATTGTTGCCAAAGCGTCCTCCGTTACCTTCGTTCCCTCCAAACTTGCCCCCGGTGGCAAATTTGTTCCTAAATCCTTGACCTTGATTGGAAGATTCATTATTTTGTTGTGGTCCTTTGGAGTAAGGAGCACTTCGCTGTCTGTAGTTGGACTCGTTCCTGGCGGGTCCAAATTTATTGTTGGTGGCGTTTGGTCCCCTAGAACCACCGCCTTCATTGGAATATCTGCCACCGGCTTCTTCACGGAAGTTTCGCTTGAAGTTGTTACCAGATTCCGTAGGTCTTTTGTCCGAACTGCCACTGGGACCTAAGAAGAAACGGTTTTAGCTATAGACTATGCATTCTCGAGAAAAATAGTGGCTCACCCTCTGTAACCCGGCGTATAGGGTTGTCTCCAGAGCCCGCAGGCCCTCGGTTACCATTACCCGGACCATACTTCGGCCTGCCCGCTTCCACCACGATGGGCTGGCCCTTAAAGACGGTGCCATTAAGGGCAGCTATGGCCGCATCCGCCATGTCTGTGTTTTCCAGGTGGACAAAAGCACAGCGGTTCATCACATCGCATTCTACAACCGATCCATAATTTGAGAACAGTCGTCGGAGTTCGTCCGGCTTGCAGCGCGGCAGGCTGCCGACAAACACCTTGGCGGTCTGCATGGATAAAGCTAGCATTACTCCGGATTACTTTCGACCATCCGGCGACGACAGCATCTTAAACTCTTACGTACAGTAGACATGTATTTATTTTTCTCTATAAGTTTTCGCTTGTCTTCTTTTTAGAGCTGTCCAACCATCGATGACACAATCGATAGTATGGCTGTCAGCAGGTGTGACCAAAGGTTAGGGCTACACATCCCTAACTGAAATCGGTATCGATAGACCCAAGCCATCAACATATCTTTTGTTTACAATTTAAATATTTAAAAACTCTGTATAACAACCGCCAGAACCCAAATGTGGCCTCCGGAAAGCAAAGATAGCTACTCTGCCAATATGGACTACAGCAAGAACGTGGTAAACATACTTCCAAGCGTAGAGATGATGGTAAGCTTCAATGGCGACATGACGCGATCCAATAAGCGGGCTTGTATACTGTACGCTGAGAGGATGGACTTCAAGGAACTGCTGGTGAGTCCATCTTATCGGAATTCATTTGAATGTTATCATATGTGTGTTATATTTGCCCAAAAGCAACTCCGGTTAACCGAGAAATCCGACCAACGGAGAATGTACATTACGACAGTGGATAGCGCCTCCTTTCATGAACTTAAACAGGATCAGTCGCTGAATGTAACGTTCTCTGGGTTTATGGACAATGTAGTGCGAATGTTGAAGGACTGCCAGACTGGTAAGCTTGAGCTACACTTGTCTGCAAGGGATCTAAACCTTTCGTCTGGTAGAGAAACCCTCGACTATCATTTACAATTCGTAGAAATAAGATCCTTTAAAAACCTTGTCCACCTGAGCCTGCCTTGTCGTTCTGCTCCCTTGAACACTGTTCTTTTCTACATAAATATCATGCTCGATGACTCCCGCAAAAAGCAATTCATACTGGAGCAGAGTATACAGCAAATGCAGGTGGAAATGAATTCACAAAGCTCCAAAATAGAAAGAATGGGGGTGGAGAACAGCAGTCTAAGAGAAGCTTTAGCTGAAAATACTCGAATCCTGGAAGAAAAAAAAAGTGCAGAGATACAACAATTCCAGGAAAAACTGGCCAAGATGAATGAACAACGCAGTAGTGAAACGGAGAGGAATCGCAGAGCGATAACTGGTCTCCAGGCGCAAATAGAAAAGGCTACTTTAGAGAAAAACGATATAAGAATAGCCTTGGAGCAGGCTGAAAATCAATGTCAAACTCTGGCAGAGGAACTATCCTGCTGTAAATCTCGCGTGTGCACCTTGAAGGAGCAGAACGACAAACTCTACGCAGATTTGGCGAATGCTAAGAAGCAGGAACGTAAACTTGAATACAAAATCGACGACATGAAGCAGCACACGGCCGAGCTGCAGGAGCATATACAAAAGGGAAACAAGGAAAAGGTATGTTTAAAAGAAGGAAACTTATCTAATAACTACATGGACAATGCTTTTTTCCTTTATAGGCTAACCTAACTGCAGAACTGGAGGCCGAAAAGAAAATCCTACACACCAAACGCCAAGCCTTAGAAATAGCTTCTGAGGAGATATCAAAGGCGAATCAGATTATCCTTAAGCAGAGCCAGGAGCTACTTAACCACAAAAAAACCATTGCATGGCGGACAGAGGTGGCTCTTCAGCAGGAGAAAGCCGTTCAAGCCAAGGAAAGCCTTCTATCCCTGCGTGAAGATGAACTGCGCCAGGCTCGAATAACCATTGAAAAGCTAAGGGAGGAAATTCCCCAGCAATTGCAATCTATGCGAAACTTTGCCCAGAGTCTGGAGCAGAAGTATTCCAAACGTGTGTAACATATTAAACCATATTTCCAATTTCCCACTTATACTTTTTAATTCCAGAGATCCTAATCCTCAAAGATCGATTATCCATACCCACTGGCAAGGAAAATCGCCATTAACTTAGCTTAGTGTTAGTGCATTTCTCGTTTTGTTCAATATATTAAAGTTAGTTTTATTGTCTGGCTCTAGTCATAATCCTCCTGTACGCTTTCACCTGCATGGGCTGTGGCCACATTTACCGCCTGACTGATGTCCTCGATTTGGTTCAGTTTCAGTCGTTCTCGGATGAGCTCTGCAATGGCCTTTTGGGTACGTCGTTCTAATCGCTCCAACTTCTTGCTGGCATCCCGCTTAAGGTCCCAATCGGGCTTACGAGGTGCCAGATTGCTGATGTCAATCTCGTCGATTACCATGGGCTGCTGAAGCAGATTTATTTGATCGCCCACAGCGGATTCAATGTTTCCCGTGGGTTCCTGGGCAAGAACTTCGCCAACAGTGTTTTCATTTTGGGGCTTATAGCTGCGGAACACTGGCCTGTAAATAGAAAGTGGCAAGTTAAAAGCGGTTAAAAAAAAAAAATAGAGTAATTACTGACTTTGGTAATTTTTCGATGGATTCGGAAGGGTCTCCTCCTTTATTCTGCGCTTGTTCCCGGAGTTTTAAAAGACGCTCCTTACGTTTTAGAGATTCTTCCGTCAGCTTACCAACGCCACTACCTTCCATAATGAGTATATGTTACTATACTTTTTAATATTTTAAGCTACTCGGTGTTTTGTGTAAATTTAAGCAAGAGAATTCCGCGTTTTTTGTTATTATTTTGGTCGGGAACAGTTTTGGTTGTACAGCACTGGAAAGCGGGTTTTATATCGATAGCTGCAAATTTCGTTATACGCATTAAACCCAAAAAGAATAAAAAAAATTTCCTAACTCGAAGTGTATAATTCAGAAAATAACCCAGCATTCTCTGTTCTTGTACGTTTTTGAAAATAATTGTAGTGACGAAGGCGAATTTCCAGTTAAATTGTATAACAAACGGTCCCATCCAAACTCCGAAAAGTATCGATGAATCGATAGCGCCGAACATGGATACACAGCGTTTGTTTTTACGAGAGGGGGAGGAAATCTGCTGTACTTTTGTCCACTTTAAACAAACAATATAGGCATTTTTACCATATTTTCGGGACTCTGCAACCTTCTACTGTAGCATCGACCACGTTCCAGCCCGATGCGGATAGTCTGGGCCAGCCAATAGGCACAAAGACATTGGCAGTGCGCCACCAGCTGCTGTTTTGGAGTAGCAAAAATAAACCAGAGCACAGCTCCCGCTCCCGAATAAATAGACGATTCCGATCCGATCCTCCTCGAGGTAACTTCTGTGGTCTATTAATATTAATGGTCTGGCTAACCAGTGCGTTGTTTTGCTTTCCCGCTTACCCCGATAGAAGGGAGCCACCATCTCATTGTTCTGACACCGATTTAGAGATTGCCCGGCCAGATCCCACAAAAGCGATCTAAAAATGGAGTGGACGCGCGAGAAGACACTGCAGCTGATCAGTGAGTACCGATGCCGTCGCGGGCTGTGGGACATGACTTGCGACGAGTACAGAAAGAAGGACGTCAAGCAGAGGCTCTTGAACGAAGTCAGCCAGGTGCTAGGCGGGAATATCCCGATCAACGAGCTGGAGAAGAAGTTCCACACGCTGCGCACGCAGTATCATCGCGAGATCAGTCGCATGAAACGCAAAGAGCCTTACAACTCCAAGTGGTTTGGCTTCAAGAATCTGGTATTCCTTAGCTCTCCATACGCCTGTCGCTCCACGAAAGGTCGCCTGAAGACAGATTTGCAGGCCGACGAGCGCAAGTTTGCCGTCGGGGAGGTGAGCGGGGATAACAACAGCGATAACAGTACGCCAGCAAACCAAAATAATAGTAGCATGAACGAGGAGTACCTTCGCAAGAGCCACGCCAGCAGTAGGGCACAGGAACTGGAAAAACTGATCGAGGAGACAACCAAAGATGTGGATGATATCGACGAGCCGGAACTGGAAGAAACGGATATCAAGCCCAAACAGAGTAAGGAGCTGAGCGTGCGCTACGTAAGCGTCACCGGGCAGGAGGACTCGGAACCGTTGGAAAACCACCACCAGACACTGATGGACCTACATCACCAGGGTAACACCGTGGAGGCTGTGAGCTTTCAGGCCAACGAAAGCGGCGAGCTGCACTATCAATCCAATCCGGCGCAGAACACAGCCAACAGTTCGGTGCATGTGGTGCCCACGCGAATAATAAAGATTCAGAGGAGAGACACTTCAGGGGAGCAGATGGATAGTTACTTTGAGGAGCACACGCAGCTGCATCCTCCGGCGCCTAAGCGCATGTACTATGAAGCCAGTCCAGCGGCGCACAACTCCACCTCCATTTTGTCACCTGCACTGGAAACCAATGCCAATGGCACGACCAGCACTGTGTTGACCTCATCACCTGGTATAACCATGAGTAATCTGCGCCTGCCCAAGGTCAATACGCCGCCCAAACCTGCCCAGTCCCAAGCCATTCCCAGCCCGCCTCCTCCCACTATTGTCAGCTTGCCACCGGCGCGCGATGAGTTCGCCACGTACGGAGAGTATGTGGCCAACGAGATGCGTGCCATCAACAACAGGGAGGTTCTCGTCGCCCTCAAGCACCGAATCAACACGGCCATTTTCGATGCCAACATGGCAGAAATTTCCCCGAAATAGATTGATCGTTTTAGCTAGAGCTAATTAACTACTACTTTAGGTTTAAGGCTGAATATGCAATGTGTCCTCTTGTCTTTATGCTTTTAATAGGTCGTCCCCCGTCACTTGTATTCTCATTTAAATTTGTACATTTAACAGATATGTATGTAACGATTTAAATACTTAAGCCAAATATAAAATTTAGTGGAATTACAAAAACAAGTTTTTCTTGGCAGCAGGCCTATTTCAGTTTGTTTTGTGTTTCGAAAAAATTGTGTGTTTTTTAGATATTTGTTCGAAATGCAGAACCCCATTTGCGAACCGTTCACGAGTTGGCCAGTAAAATTCGACATTAACCAGCTGATTAAAGAGTTCCAGCCGGAGGTGAAGGGTCGAGCGGTGGACGAGGACAAATCTGCAAAGGACTTTGTAAATCTTCCTGATAACAATTGGGTAGTCCTGCCCAGTTTTAAGTATCATTTTGAGCATCTGAAGCCGTATCTATCCTGCCGGGAGAGCAAATATTTGAGATGTCGCTTCCAGAGGTTTTTGGACAATGTGCCGAACACTTATGTAACCATAGCTTTATATGGCTCAAATGTAAGCAAGTAAGTTATAATAATCCTTTTATTAATTTTTTATGAATAATAATTGTTATTCTTAGCATGCCCGTGCCAAGGCGGAAAAGTCTAAATGGTCAGTTTTACGGAGTGGATAACAAGCTGGCTCCCGTTCCTGCAGTGGCAGATCCTCGGTCTCCACCCCACCGAAAATAGTTAAATTTACTAAAACATTTCATAGCGAAATTCAACCCAGGCCAAAAAATTAATATACACAAAAAACCAGTACGATAATACTTTTAACAATATTCGTGTTATTAAATAAATTTAAAAATTCATTATTGTATTTAAACAATAGTAGAACTGAAAATCAAAATTAAAAATACAAATGGTAACGGAAATAAATAATATTTAACATAAACGATGTTGCCATACTGTTGGATTTCAACAGGACCTCCTCGCACAGGGGTGGTATGTTTCTAACGGCTCAGTGACGGTTACACTGCAAACGGTAAAAATCAATAATGTAAAAATAGCGGGCGAAAAATGTTTACAAAATGCAATAGTTGCTGTGGCCTCGTTATAATCTCAATTTTTTTCGCCTGCCTTTTAGTCGAAAACTGCGGTGAGCATGGAGATACTATAGATATAGCTAAGATATTGAACTGGAATACTTAATACATACTTGATTGCAGTGGCTCTGAAAAAGACACTGCGGCACTATGAGATATTTCACAAGGACGATGTGGTGCACAAGGTGGTCAAACGGGGTGCCAAGCACAGCACAAATCCTTTTAACGTCATAAAAGAGGTGGAGTTCACAACTTTAGGCAAGAATTTTCGGTTGATCCTGCACCCACATCGGGATGTCCTGCACAGTAAATTTAGGGCCTATGCTGTGGACGCGGATGGCAATGAAACGGTGGTGCATATGGGTAAGCTATATGTTAATGCGTGCTAATGGTGTTTTTAATATCCTCATTTTTAAGATCACGATAGTTTCTATTCGGGCCGGGTGTTTGGTGAGCTTGAGTCCTCAGTGCGGGCTCACATCGAAGATGGCACTATGACCATGTCCATCCATTTGCCGGAGGAAACCTACCACATTGAGCCCTCCTGGAGACATCTGCCGGAAGCCAAAAAGGACACTATGGTTGCCTACAAGGCCTCGGATGTTAAGGTGCACAAAAATGAAGCAGGCGCAATTCCTAAAACCTGTGGTTATATCAAAGAGGGTCTAGAACTGGAGGACAAGGAACAAGGCGACACCTCAGATAATGAAATACACACAAGGGAAAAGCGGCAATCTGATCAGTATGAGTATACTCCCACCAAAACTCGATGTCCTCTGCTTCTGGTGGCCGATTATCGATTCTTTCAGGAAATGGGTGGGGGCAATACCAAGACCACCATTAACTATTTGGTAAGCTCTTAAATATATTTGCATCTGATAATATATTTTATTTCCATATTTATAAATCTATAGATAAGCCTAATTGATCGAGTGCACAAGATTTACAACGACACGGTTTGGCAGGATCGGTCAGATCAGGAGGGATTTAAGGGTATGGGCTTCGTCATTAAGAAAATAGTAGTACACTCGGAACCAACGAGATTAAGAGGAGGCGAGGCCCACTACAACATGATACGCGAAAAGTGGGATGTGCGAAATCTTCTGGAGGTAAGTTGGACTGGGTTGCGTCCTCACCCTTTTCATGTAGCTGCTCTTCCTCATGATCACTTAACTCTTGTATCTTGTATCTCTGACTCCGACTCTTCCGTCGCTCCAATTCTGCTGGTTAGGTCTTCTCCCGAGAATACAGCCACAAAGACTTTTGTCTAGCTCATCTGTTTACTGATCTAAAATTCGAGGGTGGCATTTTGGGCTTGGCCTACGTCGGCTCTCCGCGTCGCAACTCCGTGGGCGGTATTTGCACACCAGGTTGCTAAAACCCTGTAACTCTCATAATTGTCCTTTTCATTTGGCTTACATACTTTCGTTTCCCTTTTTTTTTTTTTGTTTCCTTAAGTTTTTGCTTGCTTAGAAGAAAATCTCTAATGGTACGAAATCCGCTTAAACTGTGTTTCAACGGAATTTTTTTTAGGCGGTTTCTTGCATTTAGAGATTTGTAGAAGGATTAAAAATAACGAACATATTTTCTATCTCTAAGAATACTTCAAAAACGGTTACACTCTGTATTTAAACTCGGGGCTGAGTAGCTCCCGTAATCACTATGGTCAACGGGTCATCACCAGGGAGGCAGATCTGGTCACGGCCCACGAGTTCGGTCACAACTGGGGATCCGAGCACGATCCTGATATTCCGGAGTGCTCACCCAGTGCTTCACAAGGAGGCAGTTTTCTTATGTATACGTACTCCGTCAGTGGCTACGATGTGAACAATAAGGTGGGTTTCCCATAAACAATATTTTGTCATCACAGTTTTAAATTTGTCCCCATTTGGTTTTTCTTAGAAATTCTCTCCCTGCTCACTGCGTTCGATCCGCAAAGTGCTGCAAGCCAAGTCGGGCAGATGTTTTTCAGAGCCGGAAGAGTCCTTTTGCGGCAATCTTCGAGTCGAAGGAGATGAGCAATGTGATGCTGGTCTATTGGGCACCGAGGATAACGACTCTTGTTGCGACAAGAACTGCAAGCTGCGCCGCAACCAAGGAGCCATGTGCAGCGACAAGAACTCGCCGTGTTGCCAAAATTGCCAATTTATGGCCTCCGGGATGAAATGCAGAGAGGCTCAGTACGCAACCTGCGAGCAGGAGGCTCGCTGCACAGGTGCTCATGCCGAGTGCCCGAAATCGCCAGCTATGCAGGATGGAACCACCTGTCAGGAGCGCGGTCAGTGCAGAAATGGCAAGTGCGTGCCCTATTGCGAGACTCAGGGTCTTCAGAGCTGCATGTGTGATATCATCGCGGATGCCTGCAAACGATGCTGTCGCATGAGCATCAATGAGACATGCTTTCCGGTGGAGCCACCAGATGTTTTGCCCGATGGAACCCCCTGCATTACAGGCTTCTGCAATAAGGTATGACTATACGAGGGTATCAGGATTGCCTCAATCTGAACCACATCTTCACTTTATTTTAGGGTGTCTGCGAGAAAACCATACAGGATGTTGTAGAGCGCTTTTGGGACATTATAGAGGAAATAAATGTTGCAAAAACTCTACGATTTCTCAAGGACAACATTGTCAGTAAGTACTACACAGATGTATAAGGGTTTGGAGAACTTATCTGCTTTATACATTTCAAATTGTTATTTACCAAATAAAAATTAATGAACTAATAATGAACACTTTTTTGTGATATTTTCAGTGGCCGTTGTCCTCGTCACTGCAGTCTTTTGGATACCTATCAGTTGTGTTATTTCCTATTTCGACCGTAAAAAACTACGCCACGAGATGAAGCTAATCGAATGGAGCCAGAAGCTGGACCTTATACATCCCAGTGATGAAAGACGTCGAGTGATTCACATACGGTACGTGCTAAACAATATTATTTCCCTTTAAATCATGATTAAAATTATTTTATTATTTTAGCGTACCGCGCCAAAAGATATCGGTGGCACGAGCATGCAACTAGCACAAAAAGCCCTTTGGGTTACTTTTTTGTTAATCTTCCGTGAGCATTCTTCTTAAAACTGCCACAAATCATTTGTATTAAGTACCATATTTGAAAACACACAACACATAAATGAATAAAATTCCATATACTATAGACCAAATACTTCAACGTGTATATATTTCGTGCCAAAAATCTGTTTGTTCTAAAAAAATTTAATGGTTGGTTTGGTTTTGTTACCTTACGGGGTTTTTTTTTATTTTCTCGGATCAATTCTTTAGCTTACTGGAGTGTAATGTACTTCTACTTCTTTTTATTGCTCTTTCCGTTTGTCTGTGGGGCTGCATCCTCGTCAAATTCCAGTTCGCTATCTTCCTCTTCATCCGAATACTCCTCGTAAATTTGTCCATCGTCAAACTCTCCAAAGTTCATCTCCGCCTAAAGAAATTCATACTTTTTATTGACCAGCATATATAATGATCGATTGGTATAACTCACCTTGCCACAGACGTAGACGGGTCCAGTGCCCTGCACCAGTTTGAAAGTCACTGATCCGTTGGGGAACTCAACATTTGGCCTTAAGCTACGGGTTTCGCCGACCTTCAGTACGGCAATGGGAATCTTCACCGTCTTCTTCTCACCATCATCGTTTATGTTCGTCTCGGCCTGTTAAAGATAATAATTATAAGTTGTTGACTTTCCCAAAGAATCTTAAAGGGGTACATGATTTGAAAATTGTCTTTATATTCATCAATACAAGAAACGAGCACAAAATTCATTATAACGAAAATTAATAGAACTTTTTTCTCGAAGTTGTTTACACTTTACGAAATCTATATATGTATAACTAAAACTAACTACTCAAAACCTTATTATCTGCAGATAATAAGTAGATCGGCCATTATTATCAATGGAAGGGTATACATACAAGGACAAAAAATGCGGTTCCGTGATTTATGAACGTAGGCTCAAGATAGTAGGCACATTAACAAGGCTCACCTGTACAACGTTGAACTCGCCGGACTTTGCCTCGGGCCCGAGGGAAATCTGTTTAATTATAAGCTTGTGTGAGTGGACAATATACTCCTCTGGTATATCTGGTACGTCGAACTGGGCGATCGGCTCTTTTTCGCTGAGTGTAACACCTAGAAAATGGACGTACAGGAAAGGGAGGTTTTAATTTTGGACTAATTTTTTGCCGGCTAGAGGATCTCAAAGTATCACCACTTGAAATCCCTCTCGGGGGCTTCACTATAGAGCTCCACCAAGTAGTAAATCCAAATACTCACCGTAAAACGACTCGGATTCCATTTGTAAGCCTTGGAACACAGATGTACAGTCAATTAATAATGGAAACTTTTTGTACCCTACACGTGCCCGTAAAACGGCGATGGCTGCAGTTTTATGAAGCGTTGAGTGGTGTTGGTAAACGTTTAAAGTCTTTCGAAGCGCGTTATTATCGATGTTTGGAATTAAACTGTAAAGTTCTTGATTAAATGGAACCTTGACAGTAAACTATTTCAGACGACTACCTAACATTAGTTTAATATGTTAATCAAGTTCACGAAGGGCGTCGATCGTCTTTTATAAATAAAAGTAGTAGCCCTGCGATAGTTACTTATATCGATAGTTTGTGTTCCCGTAACCATGACAACCCTGCTGCATCTACCATTTTGCAAAAGATTTTGCTCAACACGTGTTCGCCGCTGTTTCGTGTGGATTTAATATTAAATATTACCTACAATGGTTGAGGAATCATTTTATGGTAATTACAATAAATATGAGCAAGTATACGGGCGCCCAAAAAGGTTGAGCATAAGCCGGGAAAAGGTATATTAACAACCGAAAAAGCGGAATGCCTGTGACGCTTGCCGGTGTTTTTATCCCAAGGTTGCCGCTGGCCAATTTGTGTGTCTGGCCCCACACTCCCTCAATTTCGGATATGGGAAAAATATATGTAATTGGCATTATATTTTTATGCAGGAGTCACTTTGACCGCCGAAAACGACAGCGTCACGTGGGATGTGGACGAGGATTATGCTCGCGGCCAAAAATTGGTGATCAAACAGATCCTTCTTGGCGCAGAGGCCAAGGAAAACGAGTTCAACGTGGTCGAGGTGAGTGCTTCTTTATATGGTGTATTTTGGTGTGGGCATTGCATGTAATAAATCCCATAAAGTTGTGTATGCGCGCGCCGGTTGGTGTCGTTTTTTTTTCCCCCATTTTCCGGCCGGCGGGGCAAGGACCGGTTTTAATTTTTTTCCTCGTTTTGGGTTAGGGTAATTTTGTCTGTACATCTGCAGACTGCAAAGTTACCAGCCCCCTGGTTTCCCTTTTGCTGTACTTTCGCATTCGGAAGTGGCTGGCTAATTGTACTAGACTCATGTAGCTTACTTTCTACTTTATATGTATGTACTTTTAAACAAAGCTACATATGTGCCTACATTGCGGGAATACATTTTAAATATTTCATTCCAATTTTGGTTTTAAATATTTTCCAAATTGTTTTTTATCTATGTGATTGTAAAAGTTCTATTTAATTTTAAATAATGTATTTTTTTATAAATTCAGGGGCAGAAAAAAAAATTGATTAAATAGTTTCTTGCACTTTTAACGAATTTTTCCCATCACTGACATCTCTGTACGCACAAAGGTATGACAAGACAAAAGAGTGTTCTTTATTGACTCAAGTCAACATCAATACACGAAACGGCTGCCTCGCCATTCGTAATTGTTTGCATTAGGTCGGAAAAGCTTTTCGAGAACTTGAACATACTGCGCAGCTTCCTATCCATTCGGCAAATCACTCCCGCCGCCTGGATGCTCCAATTCCAGCAGACCATATCACACTGCAGCAGAGCGAGATCTTCGTGCAGCGATTTGAGGTTCTTTATAAAGGGGAGGAAAGAGATTCCGGTTCAAAGGTCATAAATCACACAGAAGCGTGAAAACAACACTCACCAATGCCACGGTCGTATCAATTGAGGCGATCTCGTGTCCCTTAATGAGCACCAATGTGGTGGGGGTGGCACCTTCCCTGTTTCTATCCGTCACGTGAGACATAATCGTGATCTTCAAGTACTCGGCTGCCGCATAGTCCACACTGCCCTTGAGATCGGCTATGATTACTTCGATGCCATTAAACTAAGGGGATAAATATTAAAATTATTAGCTCATTAAAGTTCATAGGTCATATTTCTTACCTTTTGGGTCTCCAAATTAAATTGCGGCTTCATGCTCTTATATAGCAAAAAGAGAGCATTAAAAACGATGCCTACCACCATGCCGTACTCCAAAGTCCAAAAGACGCAGGTCAGCAACGTGACCAGAAAAGGTAGCATATCACGCTCTAAAAGAAAGCATGAGTTATTTAAACAATATTATCTCCAAATGAAATGAATTTACTTTTTGCCCTCCAAATCTCGCCAATAGTCTCGTACTCCACCATAAAGAGCATGGCCGCTATTATAATGGCTGCCAAAGTGGCCTTGGGAATATAGGCAAATGTGGAGGTGAGAAAGGCCAGGGTCAAGAGGACAATGGCACCGGTAACGGCTCCACCTAGGGGAGTCTTGACCCCACTCGCATTGTTAATTGCTGTCCTTGTAAAAGATCCCGTGATGGGCATAGACGAGAAGAAACTGCTAAGGATGTTGCACATGCCTAGGGCAATCATCTCCTGCGAAGCGTCCAATATCTTGCCCTTTGCTGAAACATTAGATAAAGTAAGTGGGTTTCAAATGGATAATGATGCACACTTACAGAAAGCCTTTGCCACAGCTATGCTCTCTAAAATGGAAAGTAGCGGTATGGATGCCAAAGCACTTCCAATATTCGAAATCATGCCACCAAAGTCAGTGACTACTCCAGTCTCTGTGTTTTCCGTGTGAAAGGGAGGCACCTTAAATGGCGGCAAGCCAGGAGTGATGCTGCCGCTGACTACGAAAGGCAGTTTTCCATCTTTTTTCAAAAGATAGCATAGAAGAATTCCTACAAACACGGCCACAGCATTTCGGGCAATCGAAATATACTTCCACATGATCTTTGGCCCAAAAGGCATGTCTTTTAGTTGCTAAAAGTATAACATTTTATGATGTTTATTAAACAGTTTATAGGAGTTAAATTTAAATCCTTACCCTCATCAGCAGCAAAAGTATCAATGTGCAGCAACCGAGGATGACATCATTTCGACGTGTTTCCGATATGTGACCAAAGAAGTAAATCCAGCAGTTTAGGAACCCATTTGCACTACTGCTAATGCCAAAGAGACTATTAATCTGACTGGTGGCAATAGTTATGGCTGCTGCCATCGTAAATCCCGTAGTGACCGGCACAGAAATAAACCGCATAAGCACTCCGAGATTGAGCAAACCCATAATAGTGATAATGCAGCCGGACAGAAAGCAAAGGAGCACCGCATACGCTGGATTGCCATCCACATATGGTCGCACCATTAGCGCCATAATGGCTGTGGGTCCTATAACATAACGATTTGAATTACTCAGCCACGTCCTGAGACCGCAGTACTCACCCACTGTGATGTCCTTGCAGGTTCCCAAAAATATGTACACAAATCCACCCATAAAGGCTGAGTAAAGTCCGTAGGCAGCTGGTAGATTGGCCACAGCAGCGTATGCTATGGCCTGTGGCACCGCTGTAAGACCCACGGTTAGACCCGCTACCAAATCCATGGCCAGGAAGTTCCACTGGTATTTGGGCAGCCAATAAGTGACGGGCAGATATCTGTGAACCGATCGCATGCTGCAGCAACTCCGGGCCTTGGAGCCCACCGTTCCGCAAACATTTGGCAGGCGCTCCCGGTAGAGATCATCTAGAAACACATTTAGACAATAAAGTGGGTGTACCTCAGGTGGGGTTCTTTGATGAAATCTTGATATCCCTGTTGTTAAGTGGGTTAGTTGATTGGAAACGCCTCTTCGAAGTTCACATATTCATAATCTCCACACATGATCTGAAGTGCCTAGATGGTTTTCTATGGTTCGACAGTCTTGTGACTTCTGGAAAATTTTTTAATGATGTCGACAAGCTGATAGACAAGTTCATCCACAGCAACCATTTGATATCTCAGCGCCAGCAAGCACTTTGGACTTTTTGGTTTTTTTTTTTTTTGTGATTCATAATAAATTAAGTTGTCTTTAATATCTTAAATATCCTTGACTAGTTTTATAATTTATAAATCTAATTTATTCGCTATGAAAATTTAATTTTGCTCTTTCATCTTGGCTGATAGACAAGTTTATCCTGGGGAAAAGTAGCTTGTCACTGATAATACGGAGCACCAAAATAACACTTTAAGCTTGTGGATTTCCGTGTCTAATTACGTACTAATTACACAGCATTTGTCATAAATTGTGTAGACGCAAAACACCTTTGGTACCTCCAAGATCATTATTTAGTTTATGTCTCGCAAGATTATTAGACTGATGTTAGTTTTTTTTTAATGTGATTAGGTTTTTATTTGAATACACTTGATACACTTTGTATTTCTTCAAAGATACCAAATCTTGAGAGATAATACTATTATAACTAATATTGGAAATTAGTTTTCATTTCCGCGTAATTTTGATTTTCACTATAATAAGCTCTCATTGAATTCGCCTTGCTTTCACTCATCCTCTTCAGTTAACACGCTTTCCACTTACCTTCATTATCGCACATGCCGACAAGATCTGGAAGGCACTTTACAATCGGTGGGAGTTTTTATTTGAATTACACGTTGTGGGTGATTAATTAGCGGGCACTCGTTAGATTCGCACTAGCTAGACTTGGATTCAGATGAGCCTGCCTGCAGTTTGCAAGGGAACGAACCGATCCGCTCCAGCGTGGGCAGACGAATGGTCAAGCGGCCGTCAGTCGACGGGGTTATTACTGCAAAACGACTGCGCGAAACATGTGAATGCGTAGGCAGTTATCATTTGACAGTTCAGTTAATTTTTGGGCAAGGTGTTCGGCAGACAGAGATTGGAGATAAAGGCGAAGACTGCAGAGTCGAAAAGTAACGAAGAACTTCGTATTATCTACTTGCTCAGATCCAAAATAAATGTAATCTTTGTTTTTAACAACTATCTATGGCCACTTGAAAAGGCCTATGGCGGGAATCTATATGGGTCAATCTTTTCTGCGGATCTTGTTTTGATTACTTTGTGCAGGCAAATAGAAAATTAATGAATTAAAGTCAAATACTCATTCTTAGCTTATAAAAATATCCGCAAGCTACTTGAAATGCCTCTGGAGGAAATCTACCTAAACCAATCTAACCATTATCTATCTTATCTTTCTTATTTTTTAGGTTAATACACTGAAGGACTCCGTGCAAATTCCGATCGCTGTCTTGAAGGCCGGAGAGACGCGTGCTGTCAATCCCGATGTGGAGTTTTACGAGTCCAAAGTGACGTTCAAGCTCATCAAGGGCAGCGGACCCGTGTACATCCACGGGCACAACATTAAGGACGATGTCGAAGTGGTTGACATGGAGGAGGAGGATGAGGAGGACGACGTGGCCGAAGATGAAGAGGATGAGCACCCAAAGAAGCGCGCCAAGATCGAAAACGCCGCCGATGGTAAAAATGCCAAGAACAACAAGAAGAAGTAAACAGCTAACCGCCAATCATCCATCGAGGTTTAAGCAAGCAACGTGTAGATTTTAAAACAAAAACAGTTTTAGGCCCTATATTACAATACGATGCATACTGAGAATACCATCTAGTTCCTTTTGAACACCTCCTTTTACATTCAATTCAAAGACAACGTTGTGTGCTCGGTCGTGTTATCCTAAGCGAATGGTCTGTCACTCAGCCAGGAGTTCGCTCCCCGTTGGGAGCAGATCGGACTGTGACTGATCGGACGGACACTAATCGAACACACAGATTTGTATATATATTAAAATATAACTAAAGCTAAGCCGGACTTCCTGTACGCGCCTCCTTCATATTTGCAGTATGAAAATAAACTGTCGTCGGAATACAAAACATATTGCATTTTATTTAAAGAATTTACTGATTGATTTAAATTGAAATCTGGCTAGTAGAAGAAAATGCCTTTTTAGTAATTTTTCAGTTTTATTTCTCCCATGGTTTTGGTTCTCATCAATTGAAAGATCTCTTTTGGTAATGCTATATAAGGGCTATCATGATTGCAGTTCTATGAAGTGGATCAAAGCAATTTCGGGAATGCCTTCAAAGATTGCGGGTTGCTGCTCGGCAATAGTTTACTCTAGGAGTTCAGTGCTTAGTTCGGTGATGGCATGACCTTAATGCGCTCGAAGGCTTGCTTCTCCAGGGATTCGCGGTGCTTGGGATCGGCAATCTGGATGAGCTCGTACATCCTCTGGCGCACGTTCTTGCCGAAAAGCGAGGCAATTCCGTGCTCCGTGACGACGTAGTGAACGTGGGCACGCGAAGTGACGACGCCAGCGCCTGAAAGGAATCGAGATTAAGTAAACCTTTTCTTCGCTTTTTCAAAGGAAGCATTTAGCTACATACCCTCCTTCAGCGTAGGTGAGATCTTGCTCTCGCCCTTGTTGGTGGTCGATGGCATGGCAATGATGGGTACACCAAGTCCGTCCAGACCCTCAGCCGCTCCACGAATGAAGTCGACCTGTCCGCCAAATCCAGAGTAGAAACGGGAGCCGATGGAGTCGGAGCAGACCTGTCCAGTCAGATCCACTTCAATGCAGCTGTTGATGGCCGTCATGCGGGGCTGCTGTTTCACAATGCTGGTATTGTTCACATAGTCGATGGCATACATCTCTGAAAATTCCAAAATAATTAATTATTTATTTCTAATTATTTTATTGTATGCTAATTTTGGCATTGCACCAATTTACGTACCGATGAATGGATTGTTGTCTACAAAATCGTAAAGAGCCTTGTCACCGATGAGGAAGGAGCCCACGATCCTGCCCTGGTGCATCTTCTTCTTGCTGTTGGTGACACATCCCTTGCGTACCAACTCTACAACTCCGTTGGCAAACATCTCGGAGTGGATGCCCAGATCCTTGTGGTTGTGCAAGGCGGCAAGAACGGCGTCAGGGATGCTGCCAATGCCCATTTGCAAGGTGGCACCATCCTTGACGAGGTTTTCCGCGATCAACTTTCCAATCTTCTTCTCCACAGGAGAAATCTCACCAGTTCCATGCTGAGGCAAATCATCATTTACCTCGATGGCGTAGTCAAAATGCGACTTGTGGATAATGGCATCGCCGAAAGTGCGCGGCATCTTGGGGTTGATTTGAGCTGGAAGAGAAAAGTCATTTAGTCTCAGGAAAATAATATGTTAAGCTGCCCAAACTCACCAACAATTAGCTTCGAGTGCAGTAGAGCAGCACGCACACAATCGACGCTGGTGCCCAGGGAGCAGTAGCCATGGTTATCCGGCGGCGAGACGTGGATAAAAGACACATCGGGCTTTACGATCTGCTTGTAGAACAGCTGTGGGATCTCGTGCAGGAAGATCGGAACATTATCACCACGTCCCTCGGCCACCGCTTTACGGACATTGGCACCCATAAAGAACGAGTTCGAGCGGAAGATGTCCTTGTACTCCGGCTTGGCGTACTCCCCAGGACCCTCAGTGTGCATATGGCACACCGTGACGCACTCGAGCTTGTTCTCCTTTCCGTGCTTGGCCATCGCGTTCAGCAGGGCCACGGGCGTGGAGGCTGCTCCGCCGGCAAAGACCGTGTCGCCTGGATTAGAGGGTGGAAAACCACAGGGTTTATTACAATAATTAAATAATTTGGAATAGGCTGCTAATGAGCTAACCCGTAGATATTGTACATTTTGTGAAACGTTAATTACTTTAGCATGCGTCTTATCTATATATATGCATGTCGTTTACTCTAAGAGGCTACAATTATAGGGTTTCTATTTTGATTAATTTAAAGATTTGATTATTCGGCATCACTGGTAAGAACATTCTTCATACAAATTAAATTAAACTCCTGGGGGAACAAATTGATTTGAGCAAAATCATAAAAATTGTTTCCGATACGAATTTATAAGAAATCGTGAGTTTGCTATTAAAGCTTTTAATTTTATTAAAATTGTCTTAATATAGAACACTAACAAAGAAATGCTTTTAAAGAAGCAGTGAACTTATTGATAATTGATTCTAAAAATAAAAAAAAAACATTTATTACAAGTTTTATAAATTTTAAAAATGATATGCAGAGAACTATGTGACCTATGCAAAAATATGAAAAAACTATGTTGCGCTGGTCATGATTCCTTTAGGTTTTTTGTTCAAAGGGGTGGGCCAGAGATTTCTATCTGATCATTCGCTCTTTAAAGTCTTAAAAGTCTTAAGCGTGTTAAGTTAGATTCTCTCGGGAGCTTTAAAGCTATATCACACATATATATTTATCAGCAAATAGTAGGACTGATTGCCAGAATGCTAAGAGTGGGGGAGCTTGTTGCCTAGAAACTCGTGATAATGAATGTTTGTAAATAAATAATACCGGTTTCAATGTTGGCATTACATGGGTAAACATTCTGACAAAACCAGATTAATTGATAATCACAAAGAAATGTACATTTTGCATACAGATTAACTTGAATAACTCGTAATATAAGTAACAAACTGTGGAAGACAACATATTAAAATAAATTTTTCAAATTAAAATAAATAATTGTTAATCGTATAAGTTATTGTTATAAAGCAAAGAACAATTAATACTTTGATAAATTTACAAAATTTATATCTTTTTAATGTCCACCTCATTGCATCTGAATCACATGAATACTACTTTGCCAGTCTATTTTAATTTCACCCTCAAGGGGCCGGTATGCTAGTGTATTTTTGTAGGAAAAACTGGCAAGACCAATGGTGGGCAAATAAAATCAAACGAGCCCCTTCAACTAGAAATCGTACGATAAGTGTGATTCTTATCGGTAGACGTCTGACCACGTCGACCATGTCAAGTTCTCCATGAGCTTTTTACTTGAATTATTTACTAATTAATATTTAAAGTACATATATTGCAAAAATGTAATCCATTTCTTTTTTCCTCAGCTTTATTAATCTAGTTCCTACTGTACTAATTATTATCTGCCAAAAACGTGCCGAACGAAAAAGTTTTCCAAATCAAATTACGTCGCAGATTTGGCATAGCTCGTGTTGGCGATTTTGGCTAAAATTAGAGATACCGATTTTGTGTGACGTTTGTGGGTCGCTGCGATCTGCCACTCCCCCTCTGAAGACCCACCCCCCTCGAGGTGGCCTATAATATTTATCAATTTGCATGGACCTGCTGATGAGAGGCCTTAAAAGTGCTAAGAAATTAAGATATTTCGTGCGTTGTGGGCGTGTCCGAAAATTTGTTTGTATCACAGGAGGTTGCCATATTCAGACCAATTGAATTTAATCAAAGCAGAGGGCCCCAAAAATTGTCAGGCAGAGAAAATGTCAGATCATTCCTATCTTTATATTGTAACATAAATATTATCTAACCGCTTATAGCAATGATAAGAAGATTAATAAAATGTACCCAATTTTTGTTAAACAAAAAACATTTTTTATTAATTTTGTAGGTCACTTTTTGTGCTTTCTCCAAAGAATCCATAATTCTTTCAATGACAGCACACACACAAGTTCACCTGCTAATATAAGTTGCATAACCTTGCCTCCATATAAAGCAACGCTAACTACTAAATGGCATATAGGGTCTTATCAGCACGACAACCAAAGGCCGGTTGTGTGGATAGACTTGTTTATGAGCAGTTGTTCTTGCCACTAAGCTGAGCTTTGAATCGCATTTTTCTGTTGTTTTTGTTGTGCTGTGCCAAGGTACAAAGTACAACTTTCGCCTGGAAACTCATCTACAGAGCTAAATATATGCATCTATACATGTGTATAAATATCAGAATTTAAATATGCACGCACAGCTGTTTTTGCGGGATTAGATTATTATAATTTACATTTCTAGCATTTGCTGCACTTGGTTTTAAGTATAGTAACATGCAAGTAACCGATAAAGAAAATGATAAAGTAAAAGTGGGGATAAAGATATCAGAACCTTCTGAAAGAAAGTTTTTTTTTTGCTTTTTTGATAAGAATACAAAGATATACATAAATTGTGACTTTTCTATTGTTTGATTTCGAACTTTAAATAACTTTAGCTAACTAAAAACCCAACAAAACAATAAAAATAATAATTTTCCTTCGTATACCTGCTTTCTTTCTGCCGCTCTAATCACGGGCAATCAAATTCCATTCTTTTATTTATTGAGCACCCTGTAATTGGCCTTCCCTACTATGCGTTTCAAAGTAGTTTGAATTACAAACACACATGGGCTTACATTTGCATGCCCCTCAACCCGAGTGTTCCCGTTTTCATTCTGTTTCCCTAAGCAGACCCACTAGAATATTACATAACCAAAAGATTGCAAACACAATGGGTTTAATAAACCAGCAACTTTTCGGATTGGGTTTCTTCTTGAGATACAAAAGGGATAGGATGTAGAGACTCACCCGATTTGACGCATGCCACGGCCTCTTCCGCTTTCACAATTGGAGGCTCCCGGGCGATGGGATGCGACAGTTCCCGGACATAAGTGAAATAGTTGTTTTGGGCGGCGACCGTAGATGCCGTCGTCGCTGTTTTCAGCAGGTTGCTCAGCTGACCCACATGGCGCGCCAATTGCTTGCTCATAATGGTTTTTATATATAATGTATGTCCTATAAAAACACACACCGAGAAGGGCTAACGAACAGTACGCGGGATGCAAGAGTAACTGAGTGGTGGGTTTCGCTCAGGAAATTTTAGACTGGTTGGGGAAGTTCCGTCCACTGCGGCACCAAATTTGCAACTGGTTCGCGGTCGCAAACATAAGCGGCAGAAAAGCTTTTCGGCAAAAGCTATCTTCCGATCACACTTACGAGCTCCTATCCAGCCCACTCTTCCTTTCGCGTTTTAGTTCTTGTACTACTCATTTATTTACCTAGTCTTTTTTCATCATGGATATTGATAGGTTGCAAAATGTGTTTTATGCCAAAAATGGTTTTAAAATGTCATAAAACAACTAGTTTGCTGTGTTGGAAAACGTACGCGGTTTTCGATAGTTTAAAAGCCTGCGGTTATCGATACTGTGGAGCGATGTCAGTGATAAGAGCGCCAAATTAAAAAACTGATAAGGGTAATTTGTTAAATTAGTGTTCTTTTTGTACATATTTGAAAAAAGTTGAGACTGGTAGAGCATTTTCTTGGCGTTTATTTACTAAGATTATTCGTTTAATTAATCAAAATTCCTAATACATAAAAGCGGTTTGGACTAACGATTAAAAAATAACAAATTACACTCCGCGTTTACATCATAAAAAGACCTTATGAAATGTATACAACGCAATTCATCTATTTACAGGCTTAAAATGTAGGACTTTAGGATATATCAAAAGTTTTATCTATGTGTTAATGCATGTGCATGTGGTACATTGCTATGACTAGTTTATGCGATTTGCTGCCTCTAGACTCGAGTTACGTGACCGTTTACAAAACGGCTTCGGCACAATCTGGGGATACGATTTAAATATAGTTATTCTTTAGTATTCGTAGGATTAGTTTCAGTTATAAGGATTACTACCCCGTCGCCCGAACCTCTGACGATCTTTGAATCTGGACGGAGCCTAAAGAATACAAAGTGATTATCGACGAGCTGAAGGGCAAACGGTTCAAGGTAGGAGATTACAACACGGCGTTATATTTGTATCAATGTGACTAGAGCATTACTTATAGTATGAGTTGTGCAGCGCCCAAGGCGAGGGTCTTTGGGCTTCTGGCTTCGATAATTTTCGGTTAGTTAGCTGATACGGAGTACTTGCTGAATGTTCGTTTACAGTGTTTAAGGCTACTGCTTAATATTCCTACTTAGATAATGCTATGAGCTAGGCTTCCTGGCTTCCTACTGACTGCGTGATTGGTTTCCGTTTCCGGTTTCGCCTCCTTTGGCGGTTTATGTTCTGGGTACTGGCTTTCCTGGCCTTTTACCTTGTGGGCAGCGTCATGTTTAGGCACAGCTCATGATCCCGCAGATCGCCCCATCCTCCGTTGCCCTTCCGTAGTTTCGACTTTTTCATTAAACTGGGCACGGTTAAGGTAAGGGAACGCGGGAAGAGCTGGTGCGAGTTCTTGGCGATCCGCAGGACGTGCTGCACCTTTGAGATCACCTGGTTGGACTCGCAGTTCTTGTTCTTGTGGTGAACGCCACTGGAAGAAATTAGGTAAATCAATATTAAAAATGTGTTTATAACCACACAAGGTTTCTTTTTTACGCTCACCATTCTCCGATGTGAAATACCCGCGGACCTTTGACGATCATCGCGTGGAGTTTTCGCTTCAGACATTGCTGGGAAACATGTTGCAGAGACCAATCCCAGTTGTAATCATCGTAGGTGCAAAAATGGCGGGCACACTTCCGGATATGCGACCAGGTGGTGCGATTAAAGGCGAAGCCCATGTTGTGCTTGCTACTGACCCAGGGCATAACCTCCACCTGTCGAAGAGAAAAACCGTGTTAACTACGCATATTGGATACAAACAAAGGTGCAACAATATTAAAAAACGGATAATCAAAAGTTGAGGAGTGGGTGGCATGCAAATTTAATTCGATTCTGTTCGCCTAATGGGGTCAGTTTTAATAATAGGGCACTTCAAGTGGTTGCCAAGGAGCACTGCCTTCGTTCTGCGCTAATCACTAGTGCAAAGCCGTGTTTTCAGATTGGGTACAGTACGCGCCATACCAAATACCTTGCCGTAATCATCGATGATGCTCTGCCTGTCGATCTTCGCGGTGCGTACGCGGGCGTGCAACTGGCATATCGAATCGGTTCGGTTCGGATCAGATCAGGAGCGGATCGGATCGGAGAGGTAAGCATGCCATTACAGACATATAGACAAGTACAATTAAACACAACAGTCAACAAAATTACAACAACAAAGAGGCAGTAATGGGAAATCTCGGTAGATATATAGTAGTTATTTCACAGGGTACGTGCTTTGATACTAGTTATTAGTTACTTTAAGCTTTTATGAGGTGAACAGTTTTGAATCTATAAACAAGTTATGCATTTTCATGAGTTTCTAATCAGATCACGTTCGGTTTATACTTTAGCTATACGATTTTAGATATTTTAGCCGGGCTTTACAAATGGTTTCTATTAAATTCGTCTACCCATAAGCATTACAAAATTTAAATAACCACAAAAGGGTAAACTTGTTTAGCTAATCGCTTTAGAACGTATCGTACCCCACCTGGTTAAGAAATAATATATTATTCTTTCCCATTACTGCCAAAAGGAGGATAGCATATAGGGGATAGTACAGATCATGCAGAATTGCCAAAGCGTTAATGGATGGGCTATGCAACAAAGAAATGGGAGACAATCTACGGCAAACAGGGTGATGGATTCAGGCAGGTTTTCCGGCTAGGAATGATTTGGAGCTTGGAGCGGCTGGTGCGGTTAACAAGGATCTCGGGGATCCCCAGAGCTAGCGGAGCGGTGACGCTACCTTCTGATAGACGGAATACAATGACGGCAGGACATGATAGTTCCATGTTTGTGCACCATTTTTGCTGCTGCTATGGCTACTTTGCTCGTTATTATTGGTGGTGTCGGATGTGGCGGCGGTGGCGGTGACAGTGTTGATGAGGTTGCCCCGCTTGTTACTGGTATCACTGGCTCTCTGGTTGTCAGCGGTGTCGCCCACATAGACTTTGGATGACGGTGGTGATTGCGCAGATGATGAGGAGGAATAGGAGGACGACACAGCTAATTGCACAGAGTTTCTATTTTTATTCCTATTGTATCCTAATAGACTGTTTGTCGAGATCAGCGAGGAAGCATAGGATTTCTTGTTAGTCTGCGTGCCAGAATTCGGAATAGAACAGATACATATGATAAATTACAATAGTCAGATGAGTTTTGTCTAGATTAACACATTGCTGAGTGTGTGTGTGGGTCTATGATCGAATAACTGGCGTCCATTCGGGCAAAGTCCTTGCCACAATGGCTTGCCATCACAAGTCCCATTTGAATGAATGGGTTGTATGCGTTTTGAATGAATGTGTGTGTTTTGTAGCAACGAAAGCTTGAAGGATATACATAAGATAGGCTCGAAGCACTCTCTGAATTTTCGCAGCCAATGGTCTAGCATTAAAGGAGGTGACTGTTTCGCCCCATTTCTCACCTTGCTGTGGTACGTGTAGTAGTTGAAGGTCTTGAGATAGGTGCCCAGGGATAGCACGTTGCACTGGGGGCACAAGTCTTTGGTTCGTTGCTGCATCATGGCCAGCAGGTATAAGAAGTCTTCGGCCACATAGTGGTCTTCCTCGAGGAATAAGACCAAGCCTGTGAAACGAATGGGAGTTATTTACCAAGGATTAAATGTTGATATTGACTTGTATTTACCTGTATGATAGCGGGTCACCTCGAGTTCATTGAACACTCGGTTCGCTTTCCAAATCCAGTGGTGCTTTGTCTGCGTAAACTTTGCCTCCCGATAGTGGCCATAGAGATCGGGGTACATGGCATTGTTGCAGTTGGTAATAAGAGCCCTGAAATACATTTATCCAATACATTATGAAATCGAAATAAATAAGATATATGAAGTTTTCTTCAACTTACTGCTCCTTTTTAATGTTCCTCGGGCAGTCGTTCGGATCCACGCCAGGATACTCGTTAGGATGTGTCTGTATGGAGTACGGATAGAAAATCTGCATCACCTTGCAGAAATCGATCTGCTGAACCAGGTCGTTGATGTCGTCGTCGTAATAGTCATGCGAGAACACCAGTAGCACCTTGGAAATATCTCTAGCCTGCGCCAGACTTACAATCAAGTGGCGCAAATAGGTTATCCTCGTATGCACCTGAGATTTAAATTTATTTATTACAAATCAGTTTTCTTGTCAAATATATATCCTCTTACCTGGACAACAATTATCACAGAGTCGTTTTGCAGGGGCCCGAACACATCCTCATTTAGCACCGACTGCATATCGTTGTACCTCACGATCTGACGCTTTATCTCCGTAATATTCGGAGGATGATAGACATCAAAGCTGATTGTGGTGGCAGTAGCAGCTCCCGAACTACTTGCATTCAGCAGCAGGGCTAAAAAGTATAATTAGAACTAATAACAACTGATTCATATAATATTTTTTAAGATCTTACCCCCTCCGGAAATAACTCCTGCACCCGAAGTGGTGTGATTACGGGAATGGGGCGTCAGATATTTGTGAAGAGTGGCGGGCACCATGGCCAAAATGGCATCATCCGAGTCATTGGTGACCGCATCGCCCAAAACGTTGTCCCGCGAGTCCACTGGGGAGGGATTTGAGTATACATTTTGTAGCCACTACCCAGAATTGTAAGCAATAACTTACAGTAGTTAAAATTGTGGTACTGCAGCAGACCAAAGATGCAGAGGGCCAGCAGGAACAAACTCCGCATGTAGAAGTTGTTGCGCTTGCGTCCCATTGCTCCAGTGTTCGGCAGGGGGATCAGAATGCGACCTGTTCAACACCAAACGGATTTAGCATGGCTGGCTTTCTTAATTCGGGATCTCGTTTCAATTACCCCTCATTTTCGACATTTTTGCGACTCGTTATCGTCTTCCGGAATCAAACAACTAGCTGGAGCTCACTGGAAATGGGCCCTTATCTCGCCATCTGCAATGGAGCAACTACAATTATTATAGAAATTCAATTTTCTCAGAATTTGATAAGCACAGCCAATTTGATTATGACGTTTACTTGTAGTATGCACCTATCAAATGAGTTTTTTGTAAGTAAAAAGTAAGTTAGCAAATTACTATTCAGTGATTCAAATACATACAGTAGAATAACGAAATAACATCCGATTCGGGAAAGTCAAAACGAGAACATCTTAATGTATCAACATTTTTTTGGGGGGGCTCTCTCTAATGAAATCTATAAGTGCTCAGGCTCTCCTGGGCTGATCCGCACAATGGGAATGCTAATCAGAAGAGTAACGAGTACGCAAATTCAATTGCACGTCGGCCTCCGGATCTCGAATCTCGGATCCATACTTGGCACTGGGCACTTGGCACTTGAGTTTAATTAGCAATGGAGGCTTACTGGTCTCCGGATGAATGGGGATGAGTCGGGGGGACAGAGGAACAGCATGTAGTCGCTGCATGGAGCACCGCACGCAGCCGGGGAGCCTGTAAAGTGGGCGGACCGTAGTCTGAAATCAGAAATCTGAATTCCGCGGCCTCGCGTCAATTGGCATAAAAATAGATTCGGCAGCGGGTGGCTCAGCGAAATATTTAACAAGTGAAACGGTTTTGCTTCGAGGAAGCGCAATTTATGTGGCAGAAACAGGAAAAAACTAGATAATGCTGCGACACCACGAATCGTGTAATGATATGTTTACTTGGGAATTGCGGGGGCGTTGCTAGCGGTCTACGCAATGACCCATTTAGAATTATGCTAATAATTATTTAAAGGGAGTCAGAGATATTCATCAGGTTATTTAACAAAATGGATCAATAAAAAATTAATATCAGTTATTTGTCTATTAACATTTTCTCGGATTAAAGAATTAATCCGAGAGGTATAAGAATCATTCATATAAAAAAGCCTCCGAGAATAATAACTCATATGCGCTTGTGCCAAACAGGGTCCAAATGTTAACCTTGAAATAACAAAAAAAAAAAAACGTATCCATTTTTCTCGTACTAAGCTTTTCCTTAACGGGCTACACTAATTCCTTCACACTTTCCCCCGATATTTTAGTAGTTTGTTATGTCGTCAACCTGTCGCCAGTCCAAAGCAGTTTTTTCACAAGTGTACATTCAAGTCACATGTGAATTTAATTTAGACGCACAACCAAAACATACTTATTTAGATGTTGGTGGATTGACTGTTGATTTAATGATATCAGATACACAGTGTTTCCCTGTCAACATAAAAACTAACCAATGGAAAATGCAAATGTGGAGTTCTTTATTTCTGGAATCTCCCTCTTCAAATGAATACCTAATTACGCCCCTTAGTGCCAGCCAGCTAATTATTATGTTTCCTGGTAACGTCAAGTTGACGCACTTTAACGAACAAAATCAATGAACCTACCATTAATGGCATGCCTCTGCCCCTTTATTAATAAATTGTAAGTGGGCCAATTGACGATAGAATCCGACTTTGAAATTTATGGGGTGAAGGGAGATTGCGGAAAAAATCTAGAAAATGAATTGCACTGAAATAAATTCTTTCATAACGTACTTTTTTCTAATCGGTAAAACGTTGCTGTAAAACTTTAATGTATTATGTATTATGAAAAAAATGATTAAAAACTCTAACTCTCCAAGTAATCTTATAATCTCTATATCTTTAATTTATACTAGCGCTTTTACCCGCAGACCATTGACATCGTTGTAAATTTATGAATGAAACATTTATTGTTTCCGTTTTTGGATGACATGGGCGATAAAATCCGAAACATATTTTGAGATGATGAAAATACGAATGGAAGTGAGCTCTGATTTAAGAAACTTTAAAAAGCTCAGCTAATTCCTACGAATGCAAAGTAAATAGCGTTCACAATTTTTCAAGAATATAAAATATAATGAATTTAAATGAACAAATAACAAATAAAATATGATACTTATTCTCTGTGTAGGAACGACCACTACTCGTAAGTGCAGAGACTTTTTTTGGTTCGACAGGGTGTGGCGGGGGGCCTTAAGTGGTCGAAAGGGGCGTGAGGTCGAACAGGTATTTTCGGTTTAGTTGTTACGAAATAAATGGCAAAAATTGTCATGCCGAAGCGAAACCAAAACAAAACACACGAAAACGCAGGCAAATGCGCCGTTTACTTTGCACTGTTTTTATGGGTGGTTTTAACGACTTTCGGTGACTTTCGGTTTTATTTTTTTTCCGTGCGCGTTAATTGTTTGGGGTCAAATGGACGCACCTTTGGTTGATTTACCGACCAGTTCGGCTCCTTCCAAGGACTCAAAATCCTCCATTATTTTGTGGTCCCCAGTTTTGCTGCGGTCAATCGATTTTTCAGATGCCTCCAAGAAATCCAAATGCAGCGTAACGAGTTCTTTGCTTTTGTTCGAATTTTCGGGCATTTCGCAATATATAAATAGATATTAATCCCAGACGGATAAAAACATTAACTTTTAGCCTTGTTTGTTTTTATTTTTGTTGTGGTTTTTGCAGCCCAAACTCTTGCATTTTCGGTACACACACATACTAACAGCTGCTACGGCCGCAGCTGCACACACACACACGCATAGCGGACAAACGGGCATCTCTTTTCATCTCACTGTTCCGCACATTTTTCACATTTCCCGGTTTTGTTTTTTCTTCCGCTTTATGTAAATTTGTGTATTCAGTTTTCACTTTCGTTTGGCCAACAACAAAGCTCGCGATCGAGTATCTCAGGTTGGCCGTCCGTTACGAACGAGTATCTGTATCTCATAGAGCGCGCATCTCAAAAGGCAACACAAACAGCTGTTGGAGCAGAGGTGGCCTGCCATCGATAAGTTTCAGGGTGAAGACGATAAGTGTAAGCTGTTATTATTATTTTAAGTTTAACTCTTTTGGTCAGAAAGCTGTGATTTTAATCAAAAAAACTGGTGGTATATTACAATAAACCGAATTTTTGAAGTTATTTGATTCCAAATAAGATTGCTGCAGCCCTGGATCCCGGACAACTAGTTCCTCGGTTCACCAGCCCTTAAGCAATGGACCCCAGCAATCGAACTAGTTCGATTCCGAACCACGCAACTCTAGCATGTAATCGTTCGTCTCGCCGTCTAACATTTGTGTTTTGCCATTCAATAAATCTATTATTTACCACTAAATAAGCGGTACTACATTGTTCGGAAAGTGTCCGCGGTCTGGGGACTCGAACCAGTCAAGGAGTACAACGAATCTGCAACGATACGTCCATTAAAATCGAAAGGAAAGGCAGCTGAAGCAGAGCCCAGCAAAAGCAACAGCAACAAAATACACAAAATAAAAGAAGCAGCAGACGGAAAAGTGTTTAAACGGTTGAGAACTGAACGAGGAGGCGAATATACACGGATTTCTGAAAGTGCAGGACCGAAAGACAGCGAAAATGCTTTAGAGGGCGGCGGTGGTGCATGATTTTCTCCCTTCGGAGAGACCAGAGTTGCCAGAGGACGAGGATGGCTCCTGGCGCACCAAGAAGCTAAAGCCATTTAGTCCATATAAATTCCACATAACGAATCGGGATACACGGCCAAGATCCCCGCCAGAGGATCCACGAGCTCGGTGCTACATCCTGCAGCCTTGTTTAGCATTTAATCCGGTCACTGTGCCTGCGCCTTGTTAACCACATTTTCTTGTTTACGTTTGCCTGTTTGTTGAACTCTCCACGAATCGTCCTTCCATTAATTGTTAGTTACGAATCCCTCTCTCGTTGAGCACACAAATCAAAATGAAAGCATCATCCTCGTCGGTATCGAAATTGAAATCGAAGCGTCCAGCCGATAAAGCTACAATCAAATTACTCCCGTCCAAACCCACCTCGTCATTGTCACCGCCATCGGAGATTGAAGCCAGGGTCGCCAGGATTTCGCCAGGATCAGTCGTCTGCCATCCCAATTGAGTGAGGCCAAGGATACACGAATCTAAGGGTAGGTATCTGTTCTGAATAAGTACGTTAAATCAATAACTAATAGTCCAATTTCCTTATTTAGTCTACTAAATCATCCTTTGATAGAGTTTACGAGTCATAACAGAGTGGGAGATGGATAATCAGATTTGCATGGCACATTGGATTTTATGTTATAATAAAGTTCTGGAGGCTAACCTATTGTTAGGAGTGCAGAATATTTGTTTGCCACGATAGAAATCAATTATATGAGTCTGTGTCAGTGTTTATAGATCCGATTTTCTAAGGAACAACTTGAAAAATTTTTGATGAGGCACACTATACTTGTTTAAAATGTTTGTAAATAAATTTTCAACCCAGCTGCTTAACTTCTTGGTTATGCATCTAATTATGAAGGAAAATTGTTTTCTGATCAAAACTTTAGTATTCTAAACAATAATTTGACATTTTATGGCATAACGCTGTTTATCACATTAAACATAAATATAGCAAAATCTTATTGCTTGGCAATGCAAAGTTTCATATTTTTTGGCAGAATTGCTTATAATTGTAATATTTTTTTTTTATGAATCTTAACTCTTAAGCGATTGAGACAATAAGACAAAAGAATACTGTGTAGTCTAAAATATAGTACAGTAGAATCCGCTTATAGCAACTTTCAAGGGACTGACGAGTTTTCGTCGTTATACCCGGAAGACGCACTAAGTTAAAGGATATAAGTGTATAAGTCTGTCTGGGGGCCAATCAAGCCATCGAGTTTTCTTCGCAATACCCGGACGGACACTATAAGCGGAGTCGTTATTACAGGATTCTACTGTATTAGTTGCCTCCACCATGCAAATCATATTTTTTTTAACTCCCAATAACTTTAAAAAATACGGGATAATCTAAACTATTTTTAAAACGCCAAGAAACCCATTTAGTTCAAATTTCAACAATTGGAACACAAGAGTTATCTATTATATGTATAAGGCTATCCGTTTCATCTTATTCAATACTGATTATATCCATATTTGCCTTAATATTATATTCATAAAAAAAATTTATTTTCTCTGCTTTTAGGTACTGCATGTACTACATCAACTGTAATATAAGACAAATAGAAAATAAAGCGAATAAGGTTAAGTTAGTGAAACCAGGGTTAAACATTTCTTCAATTCGGACAACGCAGCGTGTTGAATTCATATATTCTCTAATATTGGCCATTTCTCACTTGAGTTAAATCGGTAAGTGTTTTATTTGCTTTATATTCATACCACCTTCATCGGAATTCTTTATATTTATTTGAGCGTATATTGAATGCACCCGTGCGAGAACAATTTTGTCTTTTCCTCAAATTCAATATCAAAGGGTTGTTGAATAACGCGTGGGGGAAAATATATTCACTTGGTTGTTTTAAAGAATGCAATACCATAAACACAATTAGTTTTGTTCAGCATTGTAGTAAATCGGGCGCAGATTATTAAAAATATATTATATAATCTAAAAAAAATCGAAGTTCAAAATCAAATCAGCTGTGCAGAGTTTTGAAAAATAACTTTTGGCGATTAAAACTTAACCCATTGAAGCCCAGACTTCTTGTCAGAAAACTTCAGATTTTTTCTTAAGAATTTCACGACTTTAAAAAGTACGACACCACCTAGTTAAAATCAATTTTTAATTTCTAAGTTTTAAGTTTTGTGTTTATCTGCTCAGTTAAATATTCATTTGCTGATTTTTATACAATATACGTTCATTTTTCAGGAACTACTGGAACTTCTTTGGAAATCCAATCTTCCCTCGATTTTCGTGTTGAATTTTGTATGCAAATTATAAATGTGAGTAAGCAACTTTTATACTTTTTTTCTTATTTCAAATCCGAAATCTTTTTTTTAATATTTTGTTATATTCAATAAACAAACAAAATTAAATTATAATATATTTATTTTAATGCGAAATAATTTATTGTCTCTCTCGCAATTCTCTTTCGTTTCTAGACTTAATTACTTTGAATTATTCATCTTCATGATATTATAAATATCATATTTTAATAAATTATGACAGTTTTATAGACAATTTAAAGATCATTCAAATCGAAAAAAAAAAAATATTTTCTACATCGCAGTTAACTTTAAAACACTTTTCATTTTGGGGTGCGCCACTTAAATTAAGTGCTATCATTTTTGCTTGGTCACGTCAGTTGTGCAATACTGCCAGATAAATGAGTTTCCGTAGTCCTGCAGACCCACAACAGTTTTCAATGCCGAGTCCACAACAGTTTGATGTCCTTGCAATGGGCGTTGCACCTGAAAAGTGAGCGCTTCCGAGCTGAACTTTTCTGGCTTTGCTGGCAACTTTTGCCGCGAACAAAGTGCCACTATTGACCTTCGGCAATACTCGCAGCCGTAGTGAGTATTTTTCCGTAATTTTCCCCCAGTTTTGCCAGGCCAGCCAAGTCTAGACTGGCATCAGACGCCCGTTCATCAGGTTCGGTTCAGCAATGGCGGTCTTAACCTCATTAGAAACAAACGAGGCCTGCCGCCGGTCGCCCCTCCCTTCAGTATTGTTTTCAAACTTATTCGAAAATAATTTCCACATTTGTGTTTAGGGGAGGAAATGAAATCTGGAGGAGGGTCTTCCAAACTCAACCCTTGCCCCATCCCTCAATATTTTGGATTACAAATAAAACCCATCTCCGCTGCTCTGTTTATATACAATAAGGACGGGCGTCTGATTTTTCCTTTGCTATGGGACTCTGGCAGTGGGCCAGGACTTGGTTTGGGGTCTGAGGACTAAGGACTGGGGACTGAGGACTAAATCTGGACCTGCGCATATTGGTTGCACACAATGACTCCTATTCGCCTGCTGCCGTCTCGCTTGCACCGCCGCAACCACGGACACTTTGAAAAGAACATCCTTTGTGTGTTGTTGTACAATGTACATGAAGCATCATTATGTTGGAGGTCGTCCCCACCGCCGGCACTCGTACTCTAGCTCTTCGCTCGGGCAGTCCATCAACAGCTGGTCGGGAACTTCGAGGGGCACTGGTGGTGATCTACTAGGAAAAAATATCAGCCTAGTCGATCAATCTAATCAAAGTATGGCTAGGTCTATCAGAAAAGCTTCAATGTCATTAGAGATTATAAATAAATATTTATTCGAGGCTCTCCAAAGTGCTGGCAATTAACAGTTTACAGAATGGTTAAATTATACAAACATAAGTTAAATCAACATAAGTCTGATAAAAGTCTTTTATCTCTCTAAAATTGCAATCCTAATTTTATGAACGTAATCAATTTTTAACTATTATTAGGTACTTATGTATATATTATCCAACAATCATTGATATTTACAATATAACGTTAGAAATAACAGATTATATTGTTTCAGTTTTTGACGTTTTTAGAAAACTAGGTAATATTCTACGCTTACAAATAATAGCACAAAGTGAATTATAAAATATATAATTGGTAGTCCAGCTATATTTAATGCATTGATTTCCCATTGCAGCTAAATTTGCAAGCTAGGATTAAATTGATAGCTTCCATTTTTGTTCTCTGTGTTGCACCGACTCTGATTGCTCGTCAATTAGTTCGATATCCGTACATAAACGACGTAGGCGCCATCCTGGATGTCCGCATGCAACAATTGTGAGTGGGAGCAGACGAGGCTGGAAGTGGGAATGGGGAGGCAGTGAGATGGGAGATGGGCCGGGCAACCCCGAAATGGTTTATGTACTTTGCTTGGGCGCACATACATGGCTGCCAGGGTGAAATCTGCAGGCGCTGTCAACGCCGGATTGAGGATTCAAAACTTGGGACTCGTTCAGTTTGACTTTTCGCTTGTCAAGGCATTGTCACCAAATACTTTGTGCTCCGTGGCTCGTGCCAAAAGATCTGTCAACAATTAGTGGCGATAATAATCCGAAAAGTAGATCCCGCAGATCCCGAAGTGAACAATCTGTGTCGAGGAATTGTGAGTGCATCACAGGGAACTTATTGTCACTTGTTATACCGCAGCATACCTGAGGCTCGCAATCCTCAAAGAAAAAACGTAATCCTACGAGTACTTCGGCACCTGGGCAACCGTTTTCAGGAACTGTCTAAGCCTTAGCCTTCGGCCGATGATGATGGGAAGCCCTCATCTCACGCTAGACTTACCTGCCAATCATCAGAACTCATAACTTGAAAAGAATGGGGAATTATCCGGCGATGCGAACGCAATCTAATAGGGATAGAAAAATCATCATCTGCCCTCGAGGGGCTCTGCTCCTGTTTCATTGTTGTTTTTCGGCATTCGCTCACAACAAAATCAATAAGGATTTATTTAATTATTTCATAATTTCCGTTCAACTGCATTCGAACAACAGTGAAACAAAATAGTTCTTGGCAATCGTTTAATAGGGGTTGTACTTTAACTCAGAGTAGTTTCGGAATGTAATTCATGTTTATATTAAAAATAAATTAAGCGCTATTGAAAGTAGTTATCGACGAAAGAGAGAGGTGTGATTACCGGCGGATTTTTAAACGAAAATTATTTATGTTTTATAACGCTTTTGAACAAAATTAACCTTGCAAAAGCTACAAGATTATGTGCCAGGATATATAAAAAAAATCAACAAAAAATTTGTTGAATCAAACATCAATTTATTTCCTTAAACCGATTAGTGTTTGTATAAAAAAAGGTGCTGATGAAGATTGTTACAGCACTCTACAAGAGTAGATAAGGAATTGCTTAAGATTATTTGTTTTGAAGCCAGAAGTTATTTATTTTTTCTAATATTATAAATTACTTCAGTAACTTCGCCATAGAAGTCCTCTTAAAAGTAGGCTTTTAGCATTTACGAAACAACAATATAAAGATTTATTCGGCATGTAAGCTATATTTTTTATTTAAAAAACTATTGGAGTGAATTTAAAGAGTATGAGTACAGTTTATATTATATAAGCTATATGTTTTAAGTAAAAACTGTTGGATTAGTGAATTTAAAGAGTACAGGTATTGTTTGAAGAGTTCAAAACGTTTTGCCTTCTTGAATGATTAAGAAACAGCATAAATTACCTTAGCGGCTTAACGCAAAAGTCAAAGGTAATTCCCTCTTCTGTGTTTTCCGGGCCTCATTTTGCCATCATCGTGGTGGTCCTAAAAGCGCTAGTAAATAACTTTCTTTGTGACCCGAAAGAAAGCGGCTAGGGGCTTTCAGTAGCAATTACGCCATTAAGGTCGAGCCGAATCTTTGATGTCGGCGATGGCACTTGTAAGTCCTGAGATGCGCGGAACGCAAGGATGCCGAGATGCACCAAAGAGGTGCCGATTTCCCCTGCAGTTTGGCGTTGTCTTTGTGAATCCCTCTTGGCCACGGGGGAGACGTCGTCCTCAAGTGGCCGAAGCATGTCCTTCGTGTAAAAAAAACGCCGCCATCTCTAGTCCTTTTCTAGCTTACGAGCTTACGATTCCTTTGCGGTGCCGAGCGTTTTAATTGTGCCTTTCTTTGTTCTTTTCGCCGTAATGGAGTGCTATGCAAATGGCGTTTTGATGAATTTCCTTGGCTCTCCGCCGGCGCTATCGCTTTGTGGCTGTTCAGTTCCCCAGTTGTCCTGGCCCTTTTAAAACAACGAAAACAAACAACGGCATTCATCCCCTGTCATCAGTGGCTGTGTATGTGTGTCTGTAAGTCATGGCTGGCAGGGAAGTGCTGCCCGAACCCTTCTCCCTACCCTCTCCTCCGCTCCCCGGACCATATCCTTTGTGCTTTGTTGATGTAGTAGTCGCTGCTCTGTTGCTGGCGGTAATCTTATCCAGAGATGACTGATTTTAAACAGCTGAAAAAAGCTGTTTTTAGCCAGGAGTTATTAGAAGGGTACTCGAACTAGAAATTGATCTCAATATTAAAAGTTATCATAACGAGGCAAAAACTTTAAACTTCATAAAAATGCTCAAAGATCCTACAAAAATATATTTAATATTAGTGTTTTTTTTAAATAAAATTACAAGCTTTGTCATCGAAAAGAAAACAGTTAAGTTTGTTTTGAAATAACTGTTTTTGATATTGCTTTAATTTCCGCAGCAATAAGGTGGAGCTTTTTACTGAAAAAAGTCTAGACTGGCAGTTCTGCTCCGCACTTTATTGCAAAGGGGAGGGAAAAAGGAACAACGAAGAAAAGGGAACATTTTTGATTTACCAAAAGCGCGACGCGGTGCTTACTTTCTAGTTTTGGCCTGCTCTCGAACGCGTCAGACAGCTCGAGAGCTGAAAATACCGGAGGCACCAGGACTCTGAAGTCCTTGCCACCATCCCCGATATTGCGATGGTATTAGGGTGTGTGTGTGTGTTTGCCCGAGTGAGTGTGTGCGTATTTCGTGTTCAAATTTTGTACATAATGGATTATTGTCCTTTTTCCCTTTGCCATGCGCCCCGACTGCTGCATTGGTCGATATCGTCAACCAATCAAAAGCGCTCTCAAAATGGCCGCCGTTCGATTCCGCTCCTCACAGCGATTCCTCGTGCAATTTGCGTGTGCCCGTCGATGTTGATAAGAAAGGAGCAAAGGAGCCCTGCGTTGAAGCGCCGCTAAGTGGTCATTCAGCTTCCGCATCCTTGAAGGTTTCCCATTACGATTCCAATTACGAGACCAGTTTCGATTTCTGCACCGCAAATTGGAATCCCAGAATGGGAAAGTGGGCCACAAGTGCGGTATTAATGGGATGGGTCATAGCTTTCCTTCCCTTAAACTTAAATATATTAAATCTTTTTTGGTAATCAATGATTTATGATAGAATTTGAAAAATGTACCCCAAAACTTATGAAAAAAAATTATTAATATTTTATAACTCCTTTAAACAATATTGACATAAATCTGAATTTTCCCCTTTATTGCAGGCCTTGTCTAATTGCCTTCCAAATTCGCAAACGAGCGCATCTTCCATGTCCCAGATATTTTTAAAATACGGGCGTTTGTGATTTAAAACCGAGAACACGTTCGTTAATCGTAACTGGTAACTTTAGCGTAGGAATAGGTAAATAATTAGCAGCGATCGCTCGTCCTGGGAAGCCAATTTAGAGTGGCATGAGTGGCCATCCATCGGGACTCCGGAAACATGATGATAATGAGTGTAGTGGGCCACGACCACCTGTACCCGGAGAAGAGAGCCGTGTTAAAAAGGTGGGTAGACCATTTACAGAAGGGTTTCCCTCATTAAAAGCTAACCAACCGATCTGGTAGATGACCGAAGGGGTAGTAGATACCTCAAAGAATTCACCGCCATCCTACCTGAACTGGGCCCGGACGTTGAACCACCTGCTGGAGGACCGCGATGGGGTCGAGCTATTCAAGAAGTACGTCGAGGAGGAGGCGCCCGCCTACAACGACCACCTCAACTTTTACTTCGCCTGCGAGGGCCTCAAGCAGCAAACGGATCCGGAGAAGATTAAGCAGATAATCGGAGCGATCTATAGGTAACTTGTTGGTAACTATAATGAGAAACCATCTAGTTTAAATATCCGCTCGCCAGATTCCTGCGAAAGAGTCAGCTGTCCATCTCCGATGACCTGCGCGCCCAGATCAAGGCCATCAAGACGAATCCCGAGCTGCCGCTTAGCCCGCACATCTTCGATCCGATGCAGCGCCACGTGGAGGTCACCATCCGCGACAACATCTACCCGACGTTCCTCTGCTCGGAGATGTACATTCTGTACATCCAGCAGATGTCCGTCCAGCAGGAGCGCTGCAGCAGCAGCGGCGCCACGGGATCGGGAAGTGCCGGGAGCAGTGGCAGCGGTGGCAGCAGCCTCGTCGGCGCCTGCGCCCTTCCATCGACCAGTAGCGCCAAGCAACAGCAGCAGCAGCAGCTTCAGCAGCTGGTGCCGCCCGGTGCCTTCATCAACCTGCCGGTGAGCAGCGTGAGCGGGCCGCCAGCTGGCACTTGCAGTGCCAGCGGCAGTGTGTACGGTCCCTCGACGTCAGCCAGCTCGAGCGGCTCCATCAGCGCCACCGACACACTGCCCCGCAGCTCCACGCTGCCCACGCTGCACGAGGACTCGGTTCTGTCGCTCTGCGACGACTTCGAGAAGGTGCAGATGCAGGAGGGCGGCGGATCCCTGGGGTCCGTGGGCGCAGGTGCGCGGGCGCCCGACTACCCGATCCGACTGACGCGGGACCTACTAATAGCAACTCAGAAAAGAAGACTGGAAATCCGACCTCCCGGGTATGTAACTGCTGCTTTTTAACTACACTTAGGCTAGATAATATGTAAGTTAGTAGAAATCACGAATGAGTTGCCGTCACAATATAAAAGATATTACACTTCAGAACACAATTGGTTGGAAAAACATATATCGTTATTTATTTCTATGATTAGTGGCTAGAATATTTAAAACCACCCGAATTTATACCTCAGACGAGATCCACCACACTCTTATGTTTGTCTTAAGTTGTTTATTAATGATGATGATTTTCTGTGATTAACTCTTAATTTGTTACTTTTATTTCTTTTACTTTTTTACATATGTTGTACATGAACGCTCACCAAAAAACGCACGCCAAAAACAAAACAAAAACCCACCTGCATACTATATATACCGAACAAATGCCCCACCACAACACTCATTGGAACTCAAAACACCACCCGCATATGCATTGTACATATGTTTACCGTTACACTACTGACTCGATGAATATACATTTCGTTTACCTTATTTGTTTGAACATTTTTGTTTGTGGATCTTGACGAATCCCCTCACTCACATACAAACACACGATCACACAATCGGGCGCCATTGCATGGAAACAATATGTCCTGATCCCGGTTCGATCTGCATGCGAGTAGTGCCCACGGTTATGTGTACAATCCAAGCACTACGAACACCTCCTATGTGCCGAATTCGCGGGTTGATTCGGAGAGGGCCAGCGTTAGCTCCGGCGGACGCACCGACTCCGACACCATGTCGATATCCAGCTGTTCCATGTGAGTAAGGCTGCTGGCAGAGATGGCCTGCACTCCCAAAGGATTGTGATTTCCAGTCGAATAGCTCGCATCCCTTGGACAACTCGCCTGACTAATGATTCCGTTTTTCAGGGACGGTCGTCCGTACATACAACGCAGACACAGCTCCACGGAGAGCAAGGCGATTCGCCAGAGCGCGATGGCGAACAAGGAGACCAATACCTTTCAGGTAAATAAATAAATAAAAGGTACAAACTAAATTTACTTTCAATAATTTATCTGTGATTGTGACTTAAAACAGGTTATACCTCGCACACAACGACTACATTCGAACGAGCACAGGCCACTGAAAGAGGACGAGCTGGTGGCTCTGCTGATACCAAAACTAGAAGAAGTGAAGCGAAAGAGAGACCTGGAGGAAAGAGCCCGCGAGGTAAGCTCAAGATGAGATATTACTACAGGATACTATATTAACTAACCAATCTTCCATTGCAGAGAAATCCCGGAGCTGCGCTGCTGACCAACGAAAGATCCAGTGCCAGCGATCGAGCCTTTGCGGAGGCAATACGGGAAAAGTTTGCACTGGACGAGGACAACGACCAAGACATTCTGGACCAGCATGTGTCGCGGGTGTGGAAGGACCAAACGCCGCACCGATCGCCGGGAACGATGTCGCCCTGCCCACCAATTCCGTCGCGGAGACGCACAGCCACCCACGACTCGGGAATGGTCAGCGATGGCGCCATGAGTCTAAGTATGAGCAGAGAAACTTTTCAAGTCGAACGTAATATAAACATAAATCCCTCCAAAGGCGGTCACTCCATGAAGCACTCGAAGTCCATGCCGGATCACAGTTCCTGCTCGAGGAAGTTGACAAACAAATGGCCTTCCATGAACACAGACAGTGGCATAAGCATGTTCTCGGCCGACACTGTTACCAAGTACAAAGATGCGAGGTAGGTTAAAATGAAACTTCTACTAACCTAAAAGGATTTTAAACAAACACTCTACTAACTTAAAGCTCTCGATCTGGCTCTAGCACGGCCTCGAAACTGGAGGAGGCGAAACGAAGACTGGAAGACGAGCCGAGGCGCTCTCGTCGATACGCCCAACCGGGGATGCAGCACTTGTCGCAACAGCCGCTGGCCTCCTTCAGCAGCAGCAGCAGCGGCGGCAGCATCAGCCTGCCCCACCAGCACCAGCTCCAAAGCACGGCGCCGCCACCGCCTCTGCCGGCCAAGCCGCCGGAGACGATCGTGGTGTTCTCTTTTTGCGAGGAGCCTGTGCCCTACAGAATTAAAATACCCGGTACTCAGCCAACCCTGCGTCAGTTCAAGGACTATCTGCCCAGAAGAGGTCACTTTAGGTGGGTTATCTACTTTCCGACTTTATAAATTCGATGTCTAATTAATTTTCGACCCATAGATTCTTCTTCAAGACGCATTGCGAGGACCCGGACAGTCCAGTGATTCAGGAAGAGATTGTTAACGACTCCGACATACTGCCCCTATTCGGAGACAAAGCGATGGGTCTTGTCAAGCCATCCGATTAATATTTAAGCATTTAGCGTAGATTTTGTATTAAGGCAAATCGTGAGTGTGACTTGGTGCACTGATGCACTCGGTAAAGTACGATTAGCGATAACGAACGCACCAAGTGTACGCATCTTAGAGCTAGCAACTGGAGAAGCTATTTCCGACAAATCAAAAGCTATATATCTGTACGTGCGACCGGCTTTTGTAAGCATCACAAACTACTCTCTGCGGGGGCAATGTATTTTTCTGTACAACAAAACAACTAATTACCAGCCACCGAACAGGGGCTTCGAAATTTGTAAATCCATAATGAGAATTTGAAGCTACTGGCAGCGGAAAAGAATCCTCTTTATGTTGACACCTTGGAGACCGTACATCCAGAGTTCGAAAAGCGTTTTAGTCCCGCAGCAGCAGCGGGGGACTGAGATTATTAGGAACTGCACAAAAATCAATTTATTAAGAAGATTTATGGGTTTACCTCGATTGGGATTTGTTTGTTACTTTATACTAACTACGGACTGCCTGCAATAAATTTTGTTAATATTTTTGTAATGTGCATTTTATGATGATATGATGATATTAACAAAGTTCTATTCAACTCGACAAAAATCAAAAGATAATCTGTTTTATTTTTGTATAATCTATAACACAGCATACAACACTTAACATTTATGTATTTATACAATGTATTGTAATTGCGTCAATTGCATCTACCGATCTACCATTAGGCACATTTCATTTTCGAGTTCGATCTGTCCAGCAGTGACCAATATCGGGTATACAATTGCGTATTGGAGGCCGAAACGGACGATGTCGATCGATTGATTTATTTAATTAAGTTAATGCATACACATACTATACATATTTTTTTAAGAAAACTGAAATAACCGCAGAAATATGCAAATAACGGATAAATTTATTATATCAAACATATTTTATTTGTGAGCAAAATGCATATAGATTTAATAAAAAAGTACATGGATAGAACGTAATGAACTGATTTTATAAGGGTCTGATGATGATCACGATGAAGATAATTCGTCTTCGGTTCGTTCCGGTATTGAATCTTATGAAATTATCTACAATGTAATTCGATTGAGGGCTAAACTGCCGTGCAGTCGTCTTTTTGAATGTGGCTCACGTAGTTTTGCTCATTGATGAAGGTGTGCGTGCACTTGGAGCAGTGGTAGCGCCGATGGCGATTCGTTCCAGGACTCTCGTGCTCCCGCAAATGCGCCTTCATGTTGTACATCTGGGAGAACCGCTTGCTGCACACCGGACACGCAAACGGCTTATCGCCCGTGTGCGAACGCATGTGCCTTTCCAAATGGGCCTTGGTGCGGGTCTTGAAGCCGCATACCTGGCACTCCAGCCGCTTGGTTTCGTTGTCGTGGATCATCTTGTGCTTGTAGAGGGCTACCTTGTGGACGAATCGCTTGGAGCAGACTTCACACTGGTAAGGCGTCTCGCCCGTATGCCAGGCCATGTGGTGCTTCAGGCGGAACTTGCGGCTAAAGCGCTCTGGGCAAACGGGACAGGCGAACTGTTTGACCGGCTCGTGGTTCTGAAGGTGCCCTATGAATCCGGAGTAGGACTGCAGGGTCTTTCCGCACTGATCACAAACGTAGCCCGGAAAGTGCTCCCGTTTTGTGTGCGCATTGTAGGCGCGTCGGCTGGTGAACTTCTCAGAGCAACTGGGACACTGTATATTCACCGTATAGTCGCCGGAGCTGTCCTGATCCTGCTCCTGATCCTCACCATCCGATATTATGTATTCTATGGTGCCATCAAGATGGTCGTCAAAGTCGCTCATTGTGTCCTCCTTAAAGAAGTCGGCCTCTTGGATCTCATGCTTGGCATGCGGCGCCAGATCTTCTTCTTCCTCCCCCTCCTCCTCGTGGGTCTCTTCCTCATTAATGATAATCTCATTATCGATATCCAGTTCTAAGTCCACGGACTGGAATTCCTCATCCTCCTCTGATTGCTTAAGAATAAAGGTATGCTCCTCCTCGGCCACCTCCTCCTCGATGTTGGCTGGATCCACCAGGGTGACAGCCTCCGTTGTGGTGTCTAATTCCTGCAGCTCATGCTCTTCCTCCTCCTCCTGATCCACCAGCTCTTCATCAACCTCTATATTTCCATCGAACTTGGCAATATTGTGTTCTCCACCGATTTCTTGCTCCTTCACCTGCAACTCCTTGATTTCCTTGGACATGTAAGGACTGTGGATCAGCTCCAGGATCTCCTGGCGCAGCTTGCGCGCGATCTGTATGGACTTGTGGTACCTGGCCAGCTTCTCGCAGCATTTTTTGCAGATCGTCGAGGATTCCTCTGCGAGAACGTAGTCCGTGCCCCGCGTGCATTGCAGGACCAAATCGCTGATCAGCACCGGCGGATGACCAACGGTTTCCGTATGAATATTCTTGGGCACGCGAACAGAAAACTGGCAAATGCAACAATTCATTCTGGTCGACTCCGCTGAATTTTATTTACAAAATATCTTGGAATCGAGGGCTGGACCACTGCCGCAATTGCAAATCGGAACTTGACAATCGAACTGGATCCGATTAATTCGGCTGCTGTCTTCGCTACACTTCTCACCGATTTGTTTGGCGAGAAGATTTATTAGCTAGCTTAGGTGGGTGCATTCACTAGATGTCGATTTTGTACTTGTCCATTTAGGTGTTTGTATTTGCTATCTTGGGGAAAAACATTCGGTAGACTTGGAGGTGCGTCGGAAAGGTTGGAAAGTGCAATGGGAGACGGGTGTATCTGCTAAGTTTCTGTTTAAAAAATTTAACGTTCTATAGGTGGAAAAACATCGATATTTGCCGTGAAGAAATTTCCAAAGCACCGACGGTTCATCGATATTTCTCCATAGCACATCCCTAACGTTTTTCCAATAAGATTTGGCGTGAACATTTTTATCAATATTAATACGCGAAATTATTTTTAAGCCAACCAAAAATTCCCAGCCATGCAACAGAAAATGTTGGACACTGTGATGTTGTGAAACTCTTCGAATTCGTCGAAAAACAAGGAGATTCATTGGAAAAACCAATCAATTTAAAACGCTGTGCAAACAGGGTGCGTGTTACTGTGTGCGTGCGTGTGTGTATATCCGCATACATATGTCGAGTGTGCAAATGTGTGTGCCTGCTCTAGTGCCAAGGCATCCTTAATTTTTTCGCACACATAGCTAAACACTTTTTTCTCTAATATACCAGCTTCTGCGCGCGCCTCGCCTCAACATTTTTTCTCTATATACCAACAATAGAGAGAGCCAGAAAGTGAGAGAGAGTGGCAGTGAGAAAGTGGTACATATAAAAAAACATAAACAAGATTTTCATACATTTCTTGTTTATTTTGTGTGCTCTAGAGTGACAAATATACGAAAAACTTAAATATAAAAAGAAAAAAAAAATAATTTTGTATAAATCTATATCATTAACGAACTCCGCGTTCTAAAAACGCCTAAATAAAATTTAAAAAAAAATCATTTTTGAACGGTTAACATTGGGCGCCATTGTCGCTGTTTCCCAACACTGCAAATGAGTAATTGTGTCATATTGACAGGCTAACGATATGGCAACTCAGACAGCTGGAAGGCCTTCGTTTGCACCAATTAGAAAAATACAAATTTTCCAATTGGACGGAACTGCAAAACGTTTTGTTAATTGAACGCACTTATTGGCGTTTCGTCAGGTGTTTCCAATTGGAGTGGGCGTGAGACGCGTGTGTATTGGTGGGTGGGCTAGGTGCGAGCGAGAGGCAGCAATAGAATTGCTTGTTATTCTTTCTTTGTTGTTTTATCTGTGGAAAAAAGCTGACTGCGAGTGTGTGTGCGTGCGCGTGTGTGTATGTACCATACATGCACACAAAGAATTTGCATAAAAAGTGAGCGAGCAAAGGCATTATATGTAATCAAAGCTAAATGACACTGAGCATACTTAAGAATCTGGGGAAAAGGGGTACAACTACTTGTCCCCACCAAATTAACCCAATCAAAAAATGCTTTGTGTTCTAATTGGCAGAAATTCGGATGTGCTTTTCGCTCAGTGTACAATCTGTGGAATTGCGAAATGAGCAAAGTTGCACTCCTTGGAATGATTTATATGCCAGAAATATTACCATAGCAGATGATGGTCGTGTACTATTTTCGATTTTCGGTTTCACGGACTGTTGTCGTTTGAGCGATTGCCTAATGTACACACACAAATATACAGAAAAACAGTGGCGAACAAAATATTAGTGGTCACAAAATAAAAAAAAAATGTTTACCTGTGTAGTTTATTATAACAGAATAAACATTTTAAATTGATATTCAGATTTTCACTTAAGCTTGGAAAATGTTTTAAATGCTTGCCACTCTATTAAATAAAATGTATTTTTCTATAAGAACTTATAGTTCGCCACTACTATTCTGTCCGCTACTGTAGATATACATATGTATGTGCATAAATTCCATCGATGCGAGGCGCAGGCGACCTTGAGAGTGAATCGAGTGTACCATATTCATTCAATAAGTGTCAATGACCTACACTAACATTGGCCCACAGCGAAAGTTGCGTGCGCCACTCAAGCATTTCATTAACTGAATTCGAACTCACAGCCAATTCCTGTTTTGTCGATCACAGATCAGGATCACCAGCCAGCAGCACACCATCGCCAGCACAGCCGAGTAGCCGAGTGGTCCACCGCTGCTCCACACACAGACACGCAAGGACATCGCACGGAGGACCAAGGAGCGGCAGGATCAGGACCAGCAGCAAGAACTAGAACCGGAGGATCAGAAGCAGGACCGGACAGGACGCGATTCTACAACCATGTTCACGGGCAAGCTGCAGATTAAGGTGTGCGAGGCGAGCGGCCTGCGTCCCACAGACTTCCAGAAACGCCACAATCTTACCTTCGGCAAACTGGCCGACGAGCAGCTCATCGATCCCTATGTTTCCATAGATGTCGACGAGAGTCACTTTGGTAAGTTTCCCCCGATATACGTTAAAAAGAGTTGAAGAACTCAATATAAAGGATTCTTCCTTACTAACTCATCTGCTAGTAAATATATTGCCTACTTAAAAGGGTCTTTATATAAGCAAATAACGTTTAAAAAAAAATATTTCAAATTTCAGTTGTTAGTTAGTTTATTTAACAGTCATAATAGTTCTGTCAACTTCGACACTTTCAGATCGAGCCACTACCAAGCCAAAGACATTTGATCCTGTTTGGAACGAGCAGTTCGTCCACGATGTGACCAATGTGAGCAACATCAACTTGACCGTCTTTCATGACGCCGCTCTGCCGCCAGATGACTTTGTGGCCAACTGCATCATCTCCTTTGAGGACCTCATGCAGAGCGAAACGGCTGTGCAGGATCTATGGGTCAACTTGGAGCCCCAGGGAAAGATTCATGTCATAATTGAACTGAAGAATCGCACAGGTACGCATAAACTGAGGGGTATTTCAAAGGATATTACTGATAATGATATTACTATTATTTTTTAAAATTAGACAAGGCCAAAACTGAGACGGTCGTGGAGCAAACCGTGGCCGTTAACAAGGAGTTCAAGGAGCGCGCTGGCTTCAACCGCCGTCGTGGTGCCATGCGTCGGCGTGTCCACCAGGTAAGTTCACATATTTATTTTTTTTAATGTACATTTATTAAATTTGAATTAACTTCTTCACCAGGTCAATGGGCACAAGTTCATGGCAACGTTTTTGCGTCAACCCACCTTCTGTTCGCATTGCCGCGAGTTTATCTGGTAAGTGGAACAGAGCACACATGATCGTACAACTCTCGTAACGTAATCACAGCCGGGCTGAAACATCTCCGTACATCCCTAAGTTGTATCTGCAGTGATTAATCTAAACATGCATTTAGTTTCGGGACTTGATTTACACACACCTCTCTCACCATCTCAACTATTTTTGATTTGATTTGATTTTATTCGACTTGGGTTGATCTATTTACCTCTATGTTCTCAATGTATCACTATTCCTCATCCATCCTCTTCATCGCTCTACTGGCTCATAACCTCTGGCTCACTTTTGGGTGGCTCACTTTTGGGTGGCTCACTATTATGCGGTTTTATTTTCCTTGGTTCTCTATATATCCATCGGCATTAACCTGGTTTCTCCAATGGGCTGTAGCAGTTGCTGCTAGCTGGGATCGCTGGGGTCATAGTTCATGCTTGATTTTTTACGGGGCTTCCATTGGCGGTTCTCATCCATCCAATTAAACTAAACTCGCACACACTTAAACAAACACACCAATCATTCAGTTACCAAAATATATATACATACAATAGCCATGGAATTTCTTGCCTTTTTGCAGGGGAATTGGTAAACAAGGCTATCAATGTCAAGGTATGTGTTTGCTTCAGACTAAACGGTAAACCAGAGCAGATCAGCTCTGGCGCTTCGGAGCTCCAGGAAGAGCGACCGACAAGCTATATCCAAACCCATATCACTTTGCATTTGCTTGTTAACTTCGTTGTACGTTGTTCGTTATTCGTTGTTTGCTGTTGTTGTCTTTGTTGATGTTGTTGCCACTGGGTTTCTTTGGCTGCATTTTACGATCAGTTACTTAATTTTTTTAAACCATACTCTCAAATACCGAAACGGATTCGATTGCTCCACATTTGTCTGGTCTTCAGCATCTTCGGCATTGTCTAATGCATCGATCACCTTGCTTGAGTCATTCCTGCATTGGGACAGAAAAGTGTCCTGGCACAGGTCCTGTCCCCACTGCACCATAAATCGATCTGGATGAGTCCCGTCCTCGTTACCATCACATAGCATTTGAAATTCACCTACGAAGAGGAATGCAAAGTTCTTACTACTAATTTGATTAAAATCCGATCGGAATGACAAGAGGTTTCACATAAATGTAGTTTTTTTTTAAATTTAAAAATTAGATAATAGATTCATTACATCCTCATTTAAGTTTGTCCGTCATTTATCTGATAGCTTTTCTTCAATTTTATTCTGTCATGCATGCCAAACTCAAATAAAATATTGAGTCTTAAATAAAAAAAACTTTTAAGCTACACAAATTTCAGTCATATGGAAACTATAAAATTTGGTCACTAAACATAATTACTAGGGCACTTAAAAATTGGGATCATCTTTGGTTCATAGGAATGTCATCGTTAGAAAACCGATTTTATGCATGATAAATTGTCTGATCGTTATAAAAATTATCAAAGATATACAACCGCAAAACGGTCATCAGGAAATTGTTACCATAGGTATATTTTTTTTAAAACTACCATAGGATTTCGTTTTCCATCATTGTTGTTATACAAAAATCTTGCTTAAATGGCTCCGTTCGTCATTTTTCTCTTTTCAAAGTAGTTTTGGTACCAATATCTGGCACGAAGCATTTCAATGTTGTGATTAAAAACCGAAACACTAATTAGAGCACAGACACAGACCAAGCACAACTAAAACTCCACTGACCATCATGTGTATAATCACACTGCACAACAAGAAACAGTCGACGGTTTATCAACTAATATCTATATTCTCAATCGTGACATTCGAACGGATGCATTTATTTAGCATCCCAATTGAATGCCATGCTTGTGAACTTTGTGTCTAACCCTGAATGTTTCAACGAGCTTGATTTAAACGAAATCCTGTAAATATACACATTCGTACGTCTAGAGTCTATGCTCTGAAAAAATATCGCCCTGCTGAATATGTTTGAGAAATACTTAATTAGTTATTTTAAACAGCTTAGCGATTTTATATTTTTGAGACCAAAATGGGTTCTTAAAAAGTACTTTCAAAAATTTATAAATGATTAAATTGAAAAACACTATCCTTACGCACTTTTTGTAAGCAATAGGGCGATCTTTTTCCTGAGTTTTCATAGAGTTTTTGGATAATTTGCCCTGCACTCTGCTATCGAAGAATTCTCGGATCGACGCAGTGCCAAGATTGGATACTAATCATTTTGCCTTTGGTTTCTCTCCCCAAAAAAACAACACTATAGTCTGCACGTTAGTTGTACATAAAAAATGTCACCTGTCCGTGGTGTCCAAGTGTCCGGGCATGCGAGATGAGGTAAGACCACATGGTATATCCATTCAGAGCAAAATAATTTAAGATGATCTTCTTCCCTTTCTCCAGCAATCCAAAGTGGAAGTGGTGCCGGCGGGCCAGCGGTTCAATGTGAATGTGCCGCACCGCTTCGTGGTGCACAGCTACAAGCGGTTCACCTTCTGCGACCACTGCGGATCCCTGCTGTACGGGCTGATCAAGCAGGGACTGCAGTGCGAGACCTGCGGAATGAACGTGCACAAGCGGTGCCAGAAGAACGTGGCCAACACGTGCGGCATCAACACGAAGCAGATGGCCGAGATCCTGAGCTCGCTGGGGATATCGCCCGACAAGCAGCAGCCGCGCCGCTCCAAGTACTTGAACCAGCAGGGCGGCGAGGACAACTACGGAGCATCGCTGGGCGGCGACGGAGACGGTGCTCCGGGGCAGTCCTTCCGCAGCGGAACGCTATCGGCGGACAGCTTGGCCACCTCCACCTCAACGCTGACGAGCGGCTACAATAGCAGCAGCTGTATGAGCTTGGCGGTGGGCGGCGGTGCTGGGGGCGGGGCCACCGGAGAGACTCGGCCGGGGAAGTGCTCCTTGCTGGACTTCAATTTCATCAAGGTCCTGGGCAAGGGCTCCTTCGGCAAGGTGATGCTGGCCGAGAAGAAGGGCACCGACGAGATATACGCCATCAAGGTGCTCAAGAAGGACGCGATCATCCAGGACGACGACGTCGATTGCACCATGACCGAGAAGCGCATCCTGGCGCTGGCCGCCAACCATCCCTTCCTGACTGCGTTACATTCCTGTTTCCAGACCCCGGACCGACTGTTCTTCGTGATGGAGTACGTGAACGGCGGCGATCTGATGTTCCAGATACAGAAGGCGCGCAGATTCGAGGCCTCGCGTGCCGCCTTCTATGCGGCGGAGGTGACACTGGCGCTGCAGTTCCTACACACCCATGGCGTCATCTACCGCGACCTGAAGCTGGACAACATCCTGCTCGACCAGGAGGGCCACTGCAAGCTGGCCGACTTTGGCATGTGCAAGGAGGGCATCATGAACGGCATGCTGACCACCACGTTCTGCGGCACGCCCGACTACATCGCCCCGGAGATCCTCAAGGAGCAGGAGTACGGCGCCTCCGTCGATTGGTGGGCGCTCGGCGTGCTCATGTACGAGATGATGGCCGGCCAGCCGCCATTCGAGGCTGACAACGAGGACGAGCTCTTCGACTCCATCATGCACGACGACGTCCTCTATCCCGTTTGGCTGTCACGCGAAGCCGTCTCCATACTAAAGGGTGAGCTAATCCATCTTAAAAAAAACCTTTTTTTAATGATGCTAACTAAGATTATTTAAATTCGCTGTCGCTCAACATTTTAAAATAATTGTCTACTTAAGAAGTGAATATACAACATATCCTTTAATTTCTTCAGGTTTTCTCACCAAAAATCCGGAGCAGCGACTCGGTTGCACTGGCGACGAGAACGAGATACGCAAGCACCCATTTTTCAACAAGCTGGACTGGAAGGAGCTGGAGAAGCGCAATATAAAGCCGCCGTTCCGACCGAAAATGGTGAGTTTGTAATAAGGAATTTATGTAAAAACATTAATTGATTTTACTTGCATGGCAGAAAAATCCACGCGATGCCAACAACTTCGACGCGGAGTTCACCAAGGAGGATCCTGTACTCACACCGATTGGAAACGACGTGGTGCGCTGCATCAACCAGGACGAGTTCGCTGGCTTCTCGTTTGTGAATCCCAAATTCGGACCGGAACGCAAAGTCTACTAAGGCCCAACGATCGCAGTTCATGTTCACATCCCGGTTCGATTGGTCGCAGGAGGATCTGGAGCCCCGATTAGATTGGGAACCCCGGTCAACGGGGTTGTTTGGCCAACCAGATCGCCGTCGGTCCGAGCTGTCATCCAGCGTGTAGCGCATCTCCCCAGCACAAGCAGTCTAATATTTTAATCTATAGTAACTTCCCCCGGTGAACACGCCCCCACCTTTGTCTGTTTGCAAACGTAGTCGTGGTCCTAGTTTCGTTCCCGGTCCTGTGTGTAGATCACTCATCCACATCCAACTACCAGTGCCAATTGTCGAAACTGAGCTAAGCTTCAAATTGAATGAGAAGCGAGAAAAGGATGCGATTTGTTAAGCGCTTGTCAACCGAACTTCTTACCCAGAAATCCTTAAAATCCCTAACTGCTTCAATCCCCACGCCTGTTGGAATTTATTTAAGTTGTTTGCCAGGGCCTTAAAAAAGGAAAAAGAAAAGAAAAAACAAGGTACCCCACCCATCTAGTCAATGCCCAGTGGCTGAGTGCATTTTGTTATTAGTTATTTATTGATTGTTTGACGTGCCGAATCTCAAGTTTCGCACTCACAGACCGACAGCATCCAAGCAGAGCTCTATTTATGGGAGGCGAGGCACTTGCTCCAAGCGAATCTCAAGGGAATTTCTAACACAATAGCCGCAATGTGCCGTCTGTACTACACACACACACCCACGCCCACATACACACATACACGCAATACACACAAATCTAATTTCAATTTGTTTTATGTATTCGAAATCTTGCACAACTTCCTTCTCAAGTATTAAAGCGATATTATTTTAAAATTACCTTATTGTTATATATAAATATTTATAAAAATGGAAAACAAAATGAAGCCAAAAACCCCTAATACAAACGCATACAATTTACCAACAAAGAGAAAGTAAAGCTAACTAATCATAGAGATAAAGCTAAAACCCACAAAGAGAATGTCTATAAAATTCATATTAATTTATGCTTAACAAATTATGAATACAAACAACAAAACGTGTTTAGTCTTTAAGCGAAAGGAAGAGGAGAACGAACAAATTATATATATGAACCATATAAATTGTGAAACTAAAGGCATATATAATACACACAAAAGAAAAACCCACAAACAAACACTTAGCGTAATGAGGAAAAGCCGAACAAAAATTATATGAAATTATGTGGCATAGGAAGATAGGAAACAATATTAATGTTTATGTGTTGATTTTAAAAACAAAGACTCAAAGCTAAGTTCTATCCGAAACAAAATGCATTCAAATTTAAGCGAAATGCATCAAAATTTGATCGATATCCTTAAAAATGTTATCATGATTATAATTTACTCCATTACTAATTTTTGTGCGGCAAAATTTGTTTATGTTTCGATTGCAACCACACTATTGAATATGAAATAATATTAAATATAAAGAAGGAATAGCAAAGGAAGGATAACAGAAGATTTATTAACTATAAGCAGCGTTGTTAACTAAAAATCGTAAGGCAAAGGCAAGCATAAACACACATTTGTATGTAATAATAAACGCCCTGTGTCTAATAATATTTGTGAAATAGCAAGCCCAGCGTAAGCGCTAGTTACCCATTTACAATTTAAATGTTAACCCAAAGTATTTTCAAGAACGCATTTTACCAAAAACGAAAAACAAAAAAATCAAGAAAAACTAACAAAAACACGAAGAATTGAAGGCGTATAGGCAAAATGTTAAAAGCTATGAATAATTTTTTAAGCAATGCGCTCAAATGCCGTTGCAAGGTTTGAGGCGCGTATTCAATTAAAACAAAAGAGTCTAAAACAAATGAAACAAAGCAAAACTCCAGCCAACCAGATTAACTCATTTAACCATAGACCCTTGATTAGGATCAGGAGCAGGTCAAGGATACAGCTAAACTTGCTGGTCGTTCGTTAAGCAAAAGAAGATAAAGAAAATATAGAAACAGAAATGGGAATAGAACAAATCGCGTGACCGTAACCTGACAACAAAAGTAAAAGTTATAGGAAATTGTGCAACCAAAATGTTAGCTATAAGCTCTCACCAAGTACGCAAAGCTGAACGCTCACCCCGCCCGCTGTTGTCTCCATCTAATTGCTTGAATCCGAAAACCTTTAGTGAAATATCGTGGCTTGCCAAAGAGGGTTCTTCAACTAAACTCTGAATGTACTCACTCAATCAGCTTAGCTAACTTTTTCTGGAGTCGCGCAGCTCAAGCAAAAACTCACCCACTTACATATGTGCAACTTTTTCATGTACCTTTCGCATCTTAGATACTTAAACGGAATATTAACGGAAAGCCCCAAAAAATTGTTAAATGATCTAAGGCAAAACTACACAAACTACTTAGAAAATATACTGAATTATTTATGGAACGGCGTACAAAACTAAAGCGCAACAAAGATAGAGGAGGTTTGGAAATGGGCAGAATCATTGCAAGAGTAATAATCATAAACAGAAAGTATTCAGCAAAACACATAAGCACACACAAAGCAGATGAAAAACCAAACTAAAACTGAGAAAAAAACAGCATAAATAATGTTTAAGTTATGTTTAAACAAGAGATAAATAAATGTAACGGTAAAGTCGAAAGTCAACAGTTGATATGTTGTAAAAAAGCTATTAAAAAAAGAAAAAACTAAAAAAAAAGAAAAGATACCAAGTCAGGCAAGTGAGCGTAATTGAATGTTAAAAAGCTACTAAATAAATGGTATGAGCAGATGTGTGCAAAGATAACCAAAGAAAGCAAAATTGAAACCAAGAAAAATTGATTTATAACATTAAGTGAAAACTAATTAATAAATAAAGAGGTAACACCTATGAAAAATGTAACCGAATTGTTTGAATTTGAATTCCAAATTAACAGCGCTTTTAAAATGTTGCTGCGACGAGTTTTTAACATACTCTGTTAAAAGTTATCGAAAGCGCGCCCATCCCTAGCTGTTGAGCCTCTCAAGTTGAGAGTCTCAACTCTACTAACAGCGCACATGTTGCCATCTCAGGAAGAAGAAGAACATTCAAAACAAATAATTATTTGGCGTAAACTATTAAATTTGTAGAGATAATACAAGTTTTAGCCAAAATGCCGAAGGTCAAAACGGAAAAGAAGAGCCGCATTCACACCGAGGTGCAGAAGCAGGGTGGGTACACGCACTGCAAGTTACAAAAATAAGCATGACAATAACGTCCCCATAAATTTTACACCTTTTAGGAATTGTTTTCAACAAGGACTTTGGACAGCACATTTTAAAGAATCCTCTGGTGATTACCACCATGTTGGAAAAGGCTGCGCTCCGGGCCACTGATGTGGTGCTGGAAATTGGTCCTGGTACTGGAAACATGACCGTCCGCATGTTGGAGCGGGCCAAAAAGGTGATCGCCTGCGAAATTGACACCCGCTTGGCCGCCGAGCTGCAGAAGCGTGTGCAGGCCACTCCGTTGCAGCCGAAGTTGCAGGTGCTCATTGGAGATTTTCTGAAGGCGGAGCTGCCCTTCTTCGACCTGTGCATTGCTAACGTGCCGTACCAGATCAGCTCCCCGCTCATCTTCAAGCTGTTGCTCCATCGACCGCTCTTTCGATGTGCCGTTCTCATGTTCCAGCGCGAATTTGCCCAGCGATTGGTGGCCAAACCGGGTGACAAGCTTTACTGTCGCTTGAGCATCAACACCCAACTTCTGGCCCGCGTCGACATGCTCATGAAGGTGGGCAAGAACAATTTTAAGCCGCCGCCAAAGGTGGAGAGCAGTGTGGTGCGTCTGGAGCCGAAGAACCCACCGCCCCCGGTCAACTTTACCGAATGGGATGGCCTTACGCGGATTGCGTTCCTCCGGAAAAACAAAACGCTGGCGGCCACCTTCAAGGTTACCTCAGTGCTGGAGATGCTTGAAAAAAACTACAAACTGTTTAGATCACTAAGAAACGAGGTGAGTGAAGATTATAACTAATGTTTTGGTAATGAGCGTTTACATAAGAACTTATTTCTAGCCCGTGGAAGATGACTTTAACATGCAGGATAAAGTGATAGGCATTTTGGAAGAACAGGGAATGGCCAGCAAACGTGCAAGAACCATGGACATTGACGACTTTATGGGCCTCCTGCTAGCCTTTAATTCAGCAGGCATTCATTTCAATTAGTTAAATTTATTCATTAGATCGTTAAACTTTGTACAATTCTACAAACATTAATATAAATGTTAAGCCAACGAACTCTAGTCAAGATTCTGTCGTTTTTTAAAGACAAACAGGTTATATGCCAGTACAGTAGATATCAAAAAGAAACCAGCTAAGATTTGTTATAAAACCTAGTCCTTAACTGCTTTTAAAATTCAACTTAAAAAATATTTAATGGTTTATACAAATCAAGTTTTTTTCAATTGAACATTACCTTCATGGATATCATACAAAAATATATTGGCTATATAATTTACGGTTCTTCCCACTGATAACTACTGTCAATAGAATGAAATCAGCTGATCAGTGTTTAATGCCAGAGAGCGGGATTTTAAAATGCGCAATTGAAAACTAGCTTATTAACTTTGATTTAATCAGTTGCCGGCCGATCGCGGTCCACTGCAGTTAGAGAACCAAACAACTCAATGGCAATGTTCCAAATGATTTCGCTGCTTATATTTATTCTCACTAGCAGCCTTGTCGGCAGTCAAACCCCCGACCCAGCCGCCCAACTTGGTAAGATAACCATATAACCCATATAATTAAAATAATTCCATATTTCTTTAGCTTGCACTAAATTCAAACAGCATGTTTTCGAGGAACGCGTTGCGATAAGCTTCTTTTTTGCCGATGCACCGGTTACTTATGAGACAGTTGATTCCTGTCATGGGTCAAGACCACTGATTGTGGATGGCACACCGGCGGAACCCAAGGAATTTCCGCATGCAGCTCGCCTCGGCCACCGGGATGCTAACAACAAAACGAAATGGTTTTGTGGGGGAACCTTAATTAGCAATCGCCTCGTGCTTACTGCCGCCCACTGCTTTTACTCCGAACAGTAAGTACAGGCCATATTTTTCCGACTATTTTTAATAATGGCTGCAGTTGCAAAACCAAACCCCTTAACAGATTTTTTATTTGTTTAACAATCCTAACTAAAAATGTCGTATATATTTACACAGTGGTGCGGTCAATGTTGTGCGTTTGGGTGAGCTGGAGTTTGACACCGATCAAGATGATGCCGAGCCGGAGGACTTCGGCGTGCTGGCGTTGAAGCCCCATCCACAGTATAAGAACCCTGAACTCTACAATGACATCGGCATCGTAAAGCTTGATCGGGAAGTCAAGTTCAACCGGTACAAGCATCCCGCCTGCTTGCCCTTCGATGATGGTGAGCAGCACGAAGCCTTCATTGCCATCGGATGGGGTCAGAAGAAGTTCGCCCAGAAGGAGTCCAAGAAGCTGCTGAAGGTTCAGCTGCAAGGCTATGGCGACCGATGTGTAAGCAGCACGGATGCCAATGACGAACTGCCGAGAGGCTACGATGCACCAAGCCAACTGTGCATCGGATCCAAGGACAACAGGGATACTTGCAATGGTGACTCTGGAGGGCCTCTGCTGGTCTACCACAAGGATTACCCTTGCATGTACCACGTTATGGGCATCACCTCGGCCGGCATTGGTTGCTCCACCCCCGACATTCCAAGTCCCTACACGAGGGTCCACTACTACCTCAACTGGATTAAAGGCGAGCTGGCTAAGCAGACAACAAGAGAATAATTTTTTGAGTTTTGTATGCTTTGTTTTAGGCCTCTAATAGATTCTTAGAAAGCCTTAAGTATGCAAGATATTAATTAATTATTGCATGCATTTATCCAAACCGGTTTGGATCTTAAACTGAGTTTTACAGGTTTTCATTTTCTGAGAATTTTTATCACTCGCCTGTAATTTTAAAAAGTCGTGGAAAATGCTCAGTTTTGTAATGATTAAAATTGTTTATTGCATTTTATATTTTCCTGTTAGAAATTTAAAAAGAACGAAACTTTTTTCGCATTGTTTAACATTGAATTTCTGCTTGCATAACACATGAGCATTGAATAAAATACATAAAGTATTCGATTTCTTATCAATTGCGGGGTTTCCAGTATTGGCTCTCCTGGGGAGATTGCACTTTTGAAGGTCTCAAAGAGAAGCTTAGTGACGCGAACGATCAATTCAGTCACTCACTGATCGCAGGGGCAGTCACACGATGAACAGTGCGTTCTCGGCCAAGATTTTTTATATAGGAGCAGTCCTACTGATTTCTGCTCTCGATTCTGCTGCGGCTCAAGATCCGGACTTAGTCAAAAGTATGTGCATCTGTTTGAAAGAGATTCGTATTATTTTTGCGTACTCCACAGCCTGCACTGCCTATAAGAAGAGTGTTTGGGAGGAGACGTCGGAGTTCAGTTTCCTGATAGAGGGTGCTCCGATTATCTACAAGACCCTGGACAAGTGCACAGCCTACGCACCCCTTATCATCGGAGGAGCACCCGCTTTGCCCAAGGAGTTTCCGCACGCCGCCCGCTTGGGACATCGTGATGATGATGGCAGCCTGGACTGGTTCTGTGGGGGAACACTTATCAGTAATAGACATGTGCTAACGGCAGCGCACTGCCATTTTTCGTCTCAGTAAGTATTTAATCAATCGCACACTTAATCGGATGTTTTTTGTTATATTTATCTATTAAATAGATTCGAAAATAATATTATTCCTTTTTCAGAGGTTCAATAAATATTGTTCGACTTGGCGATCTGGAGTTTGATACCAACACCGATGATGCCGATCCGGAGGACTTTGCGGTACAGAACTTCACTTTGCATCCGGGCTACACTCACCCAGCAATTTACAACGACATATCCGTGGTGCGGTTGGCCAGAGCCGTAACATTCAACGAATACAAACATCCTGCGTGTCTGCCCTTCGACGATGGACGGTCAACCGTCTCCTTCATTGCCATCGGCTGGGGTCAGGTGGAAATCGTTCCGAGAACCGAGAACAAGAAGTTGCAGAAGGTGAAGCTCTACAACTACGGAACGCGGTGCACTGTCACGGCGGATCGGAACGAGGAGCTGCCTGACGGCTTCAATGCCACCACCCAGCTGTGCATCGGTTCCAACGAGCACAAGGACACCTGCAACGGCGACTCCGGAGGTCCATTGGTCGTCATTCATAAAGACTATCCGTGCATGTACCACGTGATGGGCATCACATCCGTTGGAGTTTTCTGCGACACACCCGACCTGCCTGCCATGTACACAAGGGTGCACTTTTATCTGGACTGGATCAAGCAGGAAATGGCCAGAAACTAGTTAAATAAAACCCTATTAGGTAAATAAATATATATTTTCCGATTGTCTATACATTCAATTGTAAAAATGCAATTTGTGTAAGTGCTGTCATTTTATGCATAAAGAATTTACCTCTTTCTAATACATTTTGATATTGTTAAAGAGAAAATATATTTTTAATTAATTACAAATTATGGTAAAAACAATCATTAGCTATCGAAGTAATCACCCAACATTAACTATTGTATTTTTATTTGCATATATACATATAAGCAAAAGTAAGCAAAAACGTTTTGTGGTGGACAAATCGTTTTAAAAGCGGGGATTTCTAATAGCCCCTTGAACCCTGTCTCCACACCTGGTCGATCACTAGCTAACTGGGAACTAAACCCGTTCGGATCTCACAGTCGATTTCCAATCGTCACCCGAAGATGTGGACGCTTCAGCTGTTTACCCTGCTAATCATTCCGCTGACATGTGCTTTTGGTCAGAATCCGGATGTAGACATTGTCAAGTGTAAGCAAACAATAATTAGGGAATATTAAATCAAAAATTGGAAATATACATAAATGAAATATGTACACTCATATATTATTAAAAGCAACATAGAAAGTAGTAGTGGTATTCAAGACTTAACAAAATCATTTGATTCCCTTTAGCATGTACGAGCTTTAAAAAGAGTGTTTTTGAAGAAAGAGTCGACTACAGTTTCTTGCTTCCTGATGCCCCAATATATAGTAAGATCATCGATAATTGCCGGAGTTACACGCCCCTAATTGTGGGTGGTCATCCGGCCCAGCCTCGGGAATTTGCGCACATGGCACGTTTGGGACGTCGTCAAGATCTAGGGAATAAAACTAACTGGTTTTGTGGAGGCGTTCTAATTAGCGAAAGATTTGTTTTAACCGCTGCACACTGTTTGGAATCGGATAAGTAAGTACTCATAACGAAAATTACATTATCCTGAGGGATTTGAAAGTGATAGTAATATCCTTCCTCCAAAAAGGTTTCTAGTTCCTAATTGTTGAATATACATTCATAGAAACTTATTTTTTCTAGGGGTGAGGTAAACGTTGTGCGATTGGGTGAACTGGATTTTGATTCAAACGAAGAAGATGCGGCTCCCAGAGATTACAATGTCAATCAGTATATTATTCATCCCAGCTATGACGATCCGCAGTTTTATGATGATATAGGACTAATTAAGCTAGAAGAGGACGTTGTCTTCGATGTGTATAAGCATCCCGCTTGTCTGCCCTTTCAGGATGAACGTTCTTCCGAATCTTTTATAGCCGTCGGTTGGGGCAGCACAGGACTTGCTTTAAAGCCTTCGGAAACGCTGCAGAAAGTCAAGCTGGAGAAGTACGGAGATGAGGTAAAGCCATTATTTTGCATGTCAACATCATATTTAAAAACGAAATTTATCTTTTTTAGGTATGCAAAAAACTTCTTGTCCGGCAACTTGAGGAATTCCCGCAAGGATTCGACACGATAAACCAACTCTGTGTGGGTTCGGCAATGGCCCGGGACACTTGTGATGGCGATTCTGGAGGACCGTTGTTGATTTACCATCTAGAATATCCTTGCATGTACCATGTTGTGGCAGTTACCTCAGCCGGATTATCCTGCGGTACTCCGGGTATTCCCGGAATATACACTCGAGTTTATCCTTATCTAAATTGGATAACCAGAACAATGGCTAGTTCTTAAAAAAGTATAATAAATATTACTTTGGAATCATTGTAAATTACACAATAAAAGACCGCTCAGTTTAGACTTTATTTTTTAAACTGGCTTTTTTTATCAAATTGATTTCCAATTAATCGATTAGTTTTGAATTTCTCAACCATGAATGTTCTGTATCCCTGCAATAACGATAACACTGATCTATCGATGCAGCTATCGATAGTTGTTTACCTTTTTTCCCAAAAAAAAGAAACATTTACAAAACAAAACTTGTCGCCTGGTTTATAAATTGTCAATGGCCAGAGATCCACAGCTGCACAGCAAATAAAATGTAAGCGGATATCCTGCGCAGGATACCACATTACACCTTTCCCGTTCCTGGCTGCGGCGCATCTTTATTAGGGTTCCCGCATAATTGTGCCGGATCATGGAGGAGGATCTGGACAAAAGCACGGACAAGGAGCAGGAGCAGGTCATGGAGATGGAGCCAAAGCAGGACATGGACGTGGCGCAGTCTTATATAACGCGGGCCAAGATGAATCCTGCCAAGAAGGATAATGAGAAGAGGCGACGTAAGGATGCAATGCGAAGGGTAATTATCTATGCGCTAGTGTGTGTGCTCACTGATAGTGCGTGTTTGCGTATGTGTTTGTTATACCCTTGCAAAGAAGCTTTAAATTGTGGCAACTTCATAATGGAAATTAAAACGAATATATTTGAAAATCTCATTATATACGTATGTACATACATATGTATAACTTTAACATAATTATAGAGGTTTAGTTCTAAAATACTTAGGAAGTCTAAAGCTTTACACATACATAAGTACGCACGTTTCTTTTATTGCTTAAGCTTAACCATCTAATAAATATTCTAGGTCTCTATGATATTGCGGAAGTGCGACTCCTTACGATCGACGGAAGATCGCCAGTTCCTTGAAAAGCACCCGGATATGGTAAAGGCGACCAAGAAACGCAAGGAACGCGTTGAGATTTACAAGGAGCGGGTGGTGGAGCGCGAGGATGCGCCCCATGTGATCGAAGCGAAGGTGGAGCAGCTGGCCAACATTATTTCCCAGGCCAAGCACCTGGTTTGCTATACGGGAGCTGGAATAAGCACGGCTGCATTGATACCGGACTACCGCGGCAGTCAGGGCATCTGGACGTTGCTCCAAAAAGGTCAGGATATCGGAGAGCACGATCTGTCTAGCGCAAATCCCACCTACACACACATGGCACTCTACGAACTGCATCGCCGTAGACTACTACATCATGTTGTGTCCCAAAACTGCGATGGCCTGCACTTGCGATCCGGTTTGCCGAGGCATTCCCTATCTGAAATCCATGGTAATATGTACGTGGAGGTGTGTAAGAACTGTCGGCCGAACAGTGTTTACTGGCGTCAGTTTGACACTACGGAAATGACTGCCCGATACTGCCACAAGACCCATCGCCTATGCCATCGCTGCTCGGAGCCCTTGTACGACACCATCGTGCATTTCGGTGAGCGGGGAAACGTAAAATGGCCACTCAATTGGGCGGGAGCTACTGCGAATGCGGAGCGTGCGGATGTCATCCTGTGTCTAGGCTCCAGTCTCAAGGTGCTCAAGAAATACACTTGGCTGTGGCAGATGGACCGGCCTGCCCGCCAACGGGCCAAGATTTGTGTGGTCAACCTGCAGTGGACACCGAAAGACGGGATTGCCAGTATCAAGATCAACGGGAAGTGTGATCGGGTAATGGCCCAACTGATGCACCTGCTTCACATTCCAGTGCCCGTGTACACCAAGGAAAAGGATCCCATTTTCGCACATGCTACGCTCCTGATGCCCGAGGAGCTGCACACGCTCACCCAGCCACTGCTAAAAAACGCCGACGAGGAGGAGGCGTTCACCACCACCACCGAGGAAACACAGGACTCGACCATCTCCAGCGAGAGCTGCAGCTACAACTACAGCGATCTGCCCATCGGCAAGGGTCCCCGCATCCGCACGCCCATTAAAAACGGACGAAGGGTGAAGACCAACCTGGAGCTGCGCCAGAAATTCAAGCTGATCAATGGCCAGGACGAGGAGATCAAGGTGGAGCAACTGGAAGCAAATGGGGAGATAAAAACGGAGATTAACTCAATCCCGCAGCTAACGGAGTCAACCGTTAAAATAGAGACTGAAGTGAAACTGGAGGAAACAGAAGGCAAGGAAACCGTTGTCAAGCAAGAGCTTCATCTTTTGGAACTTTTGCCCAAACTGGAGCCGCTTTCCTTAAAAGAAGAAGCGGAGGAAGTACCGAACAATGGAGTCCCGGAGTTGCCCAAACTAGTCGCCATACAAAAAACTCACCCGGAAAGCATTGCCGCGCTCCCAATGGAACTGAGATTAGAACCACTTCAGCTGCCACCTCTGGTGCCCATTGGGGCACCACTGTCCACACCTTTTGTGGAGCCCAAGCTGGGGCTTCCGCCTGCCTTTCAGTCGCTCAACATCCAGGTCCAGAGCGATGGCGATGCTGACTCCACGACAGAGAATGAGAACGAGGAGGAGGAGGGAAAGCGAGCTGGCGCAGGTGGATTTATTGAGGCAGAACAGCGATGAGGAGTTGCTACGTCAACTTCCAACCTGGTACGATGCCAAGTACCCATACTCCGGGCTGCACAGCATCCTGATACCGCCGCCGGCGGATCTGAACATTTGGAACTCACAGGTGGTGCCAAACTTTGCCATGAACCGCTCCGCCGCCGGATGTGACTTCTGCTTTGATCGTTATGCGGAGTTGGAATGCCAGTTCTATCGGCGGTGGAACCTTAGCCAGCGCAAGCACAAGAAACGGGCAAGGAGCGGTCGGTTTGTGGTCTGCGAATGCTGTCCAACGTCCGACGATGACGATGACTACGACGAGAATATATCCTTGGCACACATCGCAGCTGCGGAGACGGCCAAGCGGAGACAGCAGCTAAGCAACAGTTTCCCCCGGAAACTAGCACGCACCCAGGCAGGATGGTATGGCAAGGGCTACAAGAAGGGACGGAAGCGAAGATAGATCGCCAGTTCGCAATCCTTCTACGGATGTGGGAAAGACAATTAAGTAAAACAAAGCCGAGAAACGCTCGCTTCGATAGTATTTTAGTTGTAGGATCATAAGTCATAGATGATAGTGTCAGCTAGCATAGGTTAGGGTTCCTTTAAAGTAATTTATACATGTTTTTTAAAGTGTCCTATCCTATTATGAATAATATTTTACATAAGGAAATGTCGCTCAGTTTTTGTCCAATTAAGTTATTTTTTAATCCACTGTAATTTTATTCTGTAACCTATATGTATGCGTGTCACAATTGTGGTAGCTTTGGTATATATGTCAGTTGTCTCGTTCAGTTTTACTTTTTTCTACAATTGCTTTTCAAAGCCAAATTACTTAGGGCTTAACTTAAGCACGCTTGAAACCCAACTTCCGCCCTTACCTGTTTAAGTTTAATAAACAAAAGAAACATTATGGTATAGTGAATCTAAATCGTGTTGTGGTTCATTTTCATTCCAGTCCGATACCAGTTTGTTTTCTTCTATTAATCAATAACGCAATGCATTTGCTTTCATTTGTGTAGAACCAAGTTTATTCATTAACTTAAACATAAAGTATAGCTATTTTAGTTGTAGTTTTGCGATCGCGTGTGTGAGTGTTTGTGTGTGATTAGGCATTCCATGCTGGGAGTGACCGGAGGCGAAGAATTGGCTTGCGCTCAACCTTCAGGAGGTTTCAATCCCCGCGGGTGTGTGTGAGTCTCACGTGGAACATTGCAAAATACCCAAGAATCAACAGAAGACCAGACAACGGAAAAACAAGGGAGAACAACACACATGGAAAACAGCAAGTTGATTAGATTAACGCTACCGATCGATAATTACTCGGGGGCATTGCGTGGAATTGCCAGGGTGCAAATACCGCTCAAAACATAATACCTAGAGCTACGCCAGTGTGCAGCCTGTGGGCCAATATAAAAATACAAAGATTCACGAATACGAATACAGATATGAATACAGGACGTGGATACAAGAAGCGGGTGCCGATTGAATTGTTGTGGGTCTTTTAAATGCTCTGAGGACGCAATGTCAGCGAATCACGTTTCCATATAATACAATTATCCAATTCCAGAGACAGAAATAGGGCGCGTGCTTTGAGCACGTCGGCGTTGAGATTAAAATCGCTGCGGCGATATTTTTTGAGTAGCGTGAGGGGGAATGGAAATGGGAATGATTGCATAGACGGGACTGAGACTAGAGCCGGGATCAGGAGCAGTTGCTTAGGCCACGTAGATGAACATATTAATGTCGTCGTCGTCGCGCCTCATATACTTGTGTTCGATAAGCCATTCCAGCTGCTCCTTGATCATCTTCTTGGACGGCAGGAACATGTTCTTCAGTATGTCGATGAGTTCACCCTTTGAAGGAATTGTAATATTTAAATTTCTCAAACAATGTTACTGACAATTCAAATAGTTACCTGCAGCGCCGCGTTGTTCATCCGCTTGCGCACCTTCATAATCTTGATGATGGCCTCTTGTGTGCGCAGGATGCGCAGCTGTACAATGGACTGATTGTCCTCCTGCTGAGAGCGTTCCGTGCTCAGTTGCAGGCGCCCAATGAGATTAAGCTGGGATAGGAATTATTAAGTTAATACAAACTATCTCTTAGGATGACATTCTATCCTCTCACCTTTCCACGTCGCTGGGACTTGCCGTTCTTGACAATGGCAAATTCTTGATTGATATAAAACATCGTGTTCTCAGCAAAATCCTTGGGAGAACTGATGGCCGCAGGCTCCATGAGCAGAATCTGCTTTTTAATTTTTGGGAACGCCACAAGCGACCATAGAGTTCTTCTCAGTTCAGGATCTGAACGCAAAGAAAAATATTTATGCAATAACCCTACAGTAAATAAGAAATAGTTAGTAGTAACCTGGAAGTTCTGTGGCCAAGCGAAGATTCTCGTAGGAGATTTTGTCGTGTTGCCGCTGATTCCAGGCAAACAGGACGGCCATCTGGAAGGTGGTTACGTCCAGATCGTAGCGGCCAAAGTTGTTCACAAAGGTGATGGTGCCATTGCTCATGTGATGATACCACTGCAGCTTACGGCCGGAATGCTTCTTTTTGTAGAACTCCTCCACATCGGGGATGTAATCTTCAAGCTCGATGGGCAGGGAGACTGACACACGCTCCGAGCAGCGGGCCCAGGCGCCCGCGTTGAGTATTTTAATGTTGATAGCATCGTGCCGACTTATCGAAGTTCGGAATTGAGTATTTAGATCTTCGCTGACCTGCAGATTCAAATATAGACAGTGAATAAGCGGCATTTTATTTATATTTAATCCAAAAGAGCCCACCTTTATGTCCTGGAACATTCGCGCCAACCGATTTACATAGTCCGCTGGCATGCCAACCTCGCGCAGCCACTCGACAATGTCCTCTTCCTTCTCGCTATCCGCACTTGTTCCCAGAATCAAGCTGCAATTAAAAAGAAAAAGAAGGAAACAAGTTAATGGAATCATGTCAGACTATCAAAAAAGTTTGGTGGCGTGGGAATAGCAAAAGGCTGACGCCATTGTACACATAAATCGTGGGATAAATCATTTGCATTGTGCAAAATCGTTCTTGAACTTTGCATAAGCATGTGTAATCTACTTTTTACAACTCAGTCATAATGTACTTATGTCTATAAATATTGTTTTTAACAATGAATCAGCTTACCGTCTCGTCAAATGAACCTTGTGGTAACGCATAAAGACATCTTTGTTGTTGACGTATTTCAGGACCAGCAGGACATCGCGCAAGCGTGCGTCGATCTGCTCGCTGGTGAGGCGTTTGCTGAGTGGCGTTCGCCGCAGCAGCATGTCGCAGTAATTGGCAAGCAGTTCCGGGCATTTGCTCTCCGGCGCCGTGTATTTCACACCTCGATTGGCGATGCTCGTCGGCAATTCCATCTTGAACACGCTGGTGTCGTTGACCACTGTCTTGAAAGCGATATCGCGGGCAGTGAGGAAGCGGGGATCGTCGTTGAACGCGTTGCGCACCAGGTCGCTGAACTTGTTGAACAGCTCAAGCAGCCGTTCTACATACTTCTCCGAATCCTGAGTGATAATCTCCGATGCGGAGAGCATGTCGGCTAATCCGGCGGACATTATGTGCCGCTGCAGGTCTCCCATCATAGCCTCCACCCCGACGCCGTGCAGCACACGATCCATCAGCCGGAACATGAGATTCAAGCGCTCCGTTTCATAGTCCCTGATCAGAGCAGGGCACTCCGCGATAATGGAATTTAGATGATCCACTATTAGCACCTTGACCAGCGTGTAGGTGAGTATGCTGAAGCTGCTGGGCTCCAGGTACCGTTTGGCCCTCACCTCTTCCTCCCGCAACTTTGAGTCGGCGTATTTCATGTAGGCCAGCACTCCGTTCTCCTGCTGCTGCTCCGCGGACTTGAGGCGATAGAACTCGGCGGTTGCTTTGAGGTAGGCCATCTCGAAGTTGTCCCTGTAGATCTCCAGCTTGTCCTCGGCATTCGAGGAGAGATTAACGTAGCTCTCCCGAACGCCCACTACCAGCTGGGCATCGTAGGCATCGCCGTTTCGCTCGGCATGCACGATCTTCATTGCCGAATCCTGCAGGCGGTGCTTGATGTCATGGAAGATGTGCTTGTTCCAAGAGTCCAGCATCAGCTTGCGCACCGGGCTGTCTTCCGTGGGATTCTTCTTAGAGGTGGAGGTGCTGCTGCTGCCGCTCCCCGAAGCCGCTGCAGCTGCAGCCGCTGAGCTTGTGGACGCGGATGTGGAGGCGGCAGCAGCGGCGGCGGCGGAAGTGGAAGCCCCCGTGGCAGATGAGGTTGAGGCTCCCGACTTGCCTGCCTGGCCGCTGCAGGAGGAGGCTGCTGCTGCCGCCGCGGCGCTCGTACTCGCTCCCGAGGCGGAAACGGAGGCGGAAGCGGAGGAGCTGCTTCCACTGGACGAGGGCTTCACCTGAGGCGACTGCTCCAGCTGGCGAAAGGGCAACGGCAGGTAGTTGGACTGTGTAAAGAACTTGCGCCATTCCACAATGTAGGTGGCCAGAAGAGCTTGCTCGCCGCGTTGAGCCTGCACTTGGCTTTGGGCCTGAACGATAAACTCGACGATGTCCTGCTGCAGGCAATCGTAGATCTTGGCCGCGCCCTTCTCGTCCCACAGGCACACGAAGTGGACGCCGAAGAACAGGTCCTGCCATTCGCGCTGCGACACCGTATCCTGGCGCAGAAGCTTTAAAACGATTCGTCTTTTGTCCGGCCAAACCTCCTCGAAGATGTCCCTGTCCCGTTTCCCGATTGCCTGTCGCACAGGAAGTAACACGTACATATACGTTTTCATCACCTATCAGGTCACTTACCCGTAGCATTTTGATCGTAGCAATCTCTTTGTTTTTGTTGCTGCGTCCGCTTCACTTCATTTATATTTATTTTTTGTAATTAAAGATGGACGATAGTTGGCTATCGGCCAGTGTTGGCAAGGTACCGCTTTTTAGAGAGGCTAAAAAAACGGCTGGGACACCTATCGACCTATCGACTGGGGGCAGTCGATAAAAAACAATCCCGAATTCTCGAAGTGCAGTAAAGCAAAAGTGCGGGAAATCTGCGGAAATGCTGTAGTCAGCAAACAATTGGGTAAAGTTGCCCAGCTTCGTGATAGTTGACAGGCAAGGGAGTTCGTTAAAAGAGTAACTGCCAAATGTTCTTGTCAAATGTTTTATAAAATCCATTAGTTTTGTCGATTTCGTTTTGGTTTTTTTCTTCTCTACCTCTTCGTGCGTGAGTGAGACAGAAGCAGTGTGAGCGCCCCATTGGCGCTAGCTATTTCGCTCTAGCACACGTCCCCGACCTAATGTCTGCGCGAGCGAATGTTTCGTATATTGCCAGGGTTGTCAGATGCTTGTGTTTTATAATGTTCCGCATTTCAAAAAACGACTGACTATTTCATGATACTGTGAAAATGACGCAAATCTTTTCGTAATTTTCATTTTATTTATTTCTGTTCTTAGAAATAAAATATATGTTACTATCCATATCATACCCTACCATACTGGGTATAAATCAATTACAAAAAACACACTTACTTTGCTGTGAAATTGTAAAATGCAGAAATCATGACATATGTACGCCAAAATAAAACAGTGCAAAATTTTTTAGTATAGACTTGCATTGAATCAACCACTGTGTTTATTTACAAACTAATACAACGTCTGCGCTGACAGGCGGCAACACTAGTTTTCATCATTTTCTTTGTTGGATGGATTTCCGTAATGCTAATGGTATTTTTTGTCGATTCAGGCTGTGGTCACACTACATTCACCATTTCCCTTTGTTTGCGGCGGCGGCGGCGCTCGTTGAACGGCCGTGCAAAACGAATAAATCGCAGAAAAATCGCGGAGAATGCACCAGCCCCGGGCGGCAATGTAAACAAACAAAGCTCGGATGAGCAGTTCCCGATAA